CAGATGTCCCACCTCCATTCTGCAACACAGTGGGGTTCAGCTGCACCCACTTTCTGGTGAAAACTTCCGTCTTTTCCAATTTTCAGCACTTTTAAGAGTTTTCCAGTACAGCAAGGTGAATGATTCAGGAAATTCAAACTCCAGAAGAGAGGGTAGGAGCACGAGGCTCATTATTAGTTATTTAATCAGCCATTTGTGGGGGGTTCTGGGCTTGTGCCAGCTCTACCTTCAGAGTTTTTGGACACACACTGTGTGAGGGGAAGGACTCCTGTGCACTCTCTCAAGCTGTTCCATTACACCTGATTTATAGCATGACACTACTTGTTCTAGCCCATAACCTTGAGCTTGTAAACTACACAGGGGAAAATTTACTAACCACTGAGTTCATCTTAATGCACTTTTGGGAGTCTTAAGTGGGGAAAAAAGAAGGCAAAGAATCGGGGGCATCCAGAGGAGCTGGTTTTGAACAGCAATCCTTTCCTGGCCCAATCCAGTGCATCTCACAGTCCACTCTGTTTTCATTTAAATAAAGTTTTAATTTACATGGCCAGCACAGAGTAAGGACCTGTGTTTGTCTTGCTTTGAAGGTGATAATCAATAGGAGAGTTGTAGACACATTTCACTTACCAGCTGCACACATGGCTGGAGTTTACCTCAACAACAGCACATACAAATGCCTTTCCTCCACTCTTTGCTGGCATCAGAGTTTGATTAATAACAGAAGCCAGAAAACTGTTTTGTAACTTTTCTATTAGGAAAGAAAATTGTCACCCACACAGCAGAACAATTTCCAAGCAGTAAAGGAGTCCCCATCAGTGTAAACAGAAGAGCACTGACAGCAGGAATACAGGTGTTACAGGTCCTTGGTACAATTCTGATGAGCAACTACACAGACCTGAGACTTGCATGAACATCAGAGCCAACAACACGCTCTCATCAGAGGCTGCAAATTGCATCCTTGGCTCCACCAGAAGCGTGGCCAGATGACCAAAGGAAGTTATCTCCCTTTCATCAGGGCTGGTGAAGCTGTACCTGGAACACCAAGCCTGGTTTTAGGTTCTGCACTGCAACAGAGATGGGGAAACTGGAGATGGGACAGCACAAGGGCTGGAGAACAGGATTTATGAGGAAAGGCTGAAGCTGGGCTTGTTCATCCTGCCCAGGAGGTGGGTCAGCAGGCTGATCTGACAGCAACAAGGAGTTACAATGTGATGGGGTCAACCACTTCTCAGTAGCACCAGGGAACAGAAGAAAGGACAAGGACAACAGAGTTTGGGAAGCTCAGGCTGGATTTGGCAAGAAGTTTTCATAAGGAGACAAGTGTAGCACTAGTACAGGCCAGAGGTGGCTGGGCCTCCCATAGTGTTAGAGACACAGGTGACCTGATGCAGTGTTGACAAAGGTCCCAACTAGAAGCTAATTTAAAATAAAGATGTCATATGAACACAAATAGGGTTTCAGCCTCCACTTCATTATTATTGGAAGCAAAGAAAAAGGGAGTCTACCCAGGTTCATCTTTGACAAGTTCATTTTACCACACAAAACTTGATGGCTGCACTACTGAGTGATGCACAGAAGCAGCACCCACAGATGCAGCAGTTATTCAGATGCTCTGCCCCACCTTTTGTCTTCATTTTCAAAAATGCTCAAGTGTATTACAGACCTTCAGATTAATTTCCTCAGCTAATACCCTGAAGTGAATGTCTGATTTGCCCAAGGTAAAGTTGCTCTCTCCTTGGTTTGTTCCCTTCAATGGCAGCCTGCCCTCCATACCAGCATACAACTTCCTTGAAACACGAAGAGAGTGCTGATGTTATAGAGCAAACACAAAATGAGCTCTGCATTTGCTGACTATTCCCAGAAGGTATCTTGCTCCTTACTTCAGTCTAAGTATTCAAAAGTCAGTTCCTGAAACTTTCCCTTCCTTTCAAGTAATTCTCCCTAGGTAAAGCTCCAGCAAACAGCAGCCTGTGTGATTATTTCTCCCATTACAGTCTCTTATTTTGTTTAATTTTTAATTATATTAAATTACACAGCTGAAGTGCAACTGGATATATGGCATTGGATAAGATGTCATTCAGTGAAAAGGCTTGTTCTTTGAAGAGCCTGAACTAGAGGCTTTTCCAGCAGGACTGTAGCTCATATGCTGAGGAATGTCACACTGCTCCTATGGTCCACTGAGGACATTAGGGGTAACCTTATTACTATTCAAAGGAGAATTCTGTTTGTAAATGACTTCCTGGCATCCCAGCAGTGGATTTTCGTAGGGACTGGCAGAAAGCAGCGATTCCTATTGTTCCTTCACTCCAGTGACTGATTTCCCCAGCAGAAGCAGCAGTACTGTGACACAGTTTGTGCATCAGGTAATCACACAATTTGCACTGCGTGACCTTGGTGGAGTCAGGTTCATAGCAGGTACAGCAGCACAGCTGGAGCACTGGGCAGAACACACCTCTCAGTGCCCAGGCACCACCCCAGCCCTAACACCTCACCACAGCAATGCCCAGGACAGACCTGACCAGAACCAGAGTTACCCAGCTGTCCAGTCATTGTCTAGCACACTCTCATTTATCTTCCATGTTTTAAAAGAGGCTGATGAAATTTATAACCATATTCATGAGCCTTTCCTTACTCTGTCTTTGATGAACTACCCCCTCAATAAGTGCCCAGGAGTTTTAAAAAGGAAAAAACCAACCAAACAAACCACACACATCCAAAACCACATCGGGCTGCCTGACAAAAGCACTTCTACTTTCTCACTGGATACTTTAAAATGTTTATGAACAAGCCCAACAGCAGGTTTGGAAGTTTTTCTCAATTAAATCTCACATTGCTGAGCACAGCTCACAGCTCTGCTCTCCTCAGATTTCCCTGAAGCCTCACTGCACCTTCACACGTACTTGCTCCTTCTCCAGTTTCTGTAAGATCAGCACAAACACAAGTGGTGAGTTTACAGTGCCCCCAGATGTTACTCATGAAATCAGCATCAAGTGGAGGCTTTGGTGTTTCTCCTTCCCTTCTCATTTAAGAACACTCTTTTATCAGAGGTCACAGCAATAAATGATGTCCTGCTAAAGCCTTGTTGCAGTTCCCATGGAATTTCGTGTCTGAATCCATATCAGATACCAAACTAAAGTGCAGATGTGCTAATTACCAAGAAAATACAGTAGAATCAAACCCCTCAAATTTTAAGTATATGCAGAACTTGCCAGTAAAAAGCTTTATCCCTACATCTCAGGCAGGTTCCCACACCAGTGTTTTGATGCAACTATCACAGAAACCACTTCACTCTTACCATCCTACCAGGGAAAGGCAGGGACCAAGCCAGTTCAAGCCCCTCACCTCACCCAACTTCCCTGTTACACCTGTAGAGCTTCCTTAGCCAATACCATGAAGATCCAGTCTGGGTTACACACCTTTAAGACGGCAGAAAAGGAATAAGAACACTAAAAGCATGTCAAAAAGGAGTTTTCCCATTTACTATCTTGAGGAAGAAAACAAGAATAACAAGCAAAAACCATACCTTTTGAGTGAAAATTTTTAAAGCCCGGGTCTGCTTGTTTAAAGGAGTTTCAGGGCCATCTGCTGCATCATAAAGAAGCTGGAAAAGACATCAGTCACATTCTCACTTCTTTCCCTTTCTGCAGATTCATAACCAGAGTAATGATACCTCTAAGGATACAGCCTTCTCTGGAGGTTCAAAAAGGATCCAAAGCAAAATCTACAGCATGCAGGAGAAATAGGTACTGGAATAAACACCTAGAAGCCAGGGTTTAGAGATTTATATGTATCTAAGTGTAATGTGTGTGAGTGCTTAATTAACTTGAATTATTTTGCAATTCTTTAGTCTTCTCCCAGATCACTGATCCCCAAAGAGATTAAATGACTTCACTTTGCTGCAACTTGTAAGAGATTCAGTATGACAGAAGAGTTTAAGGGCAGCTGGCAGAGCCCAGCACAGCTGTTTATCACAGTACAACAGAAACAGTTCTTCAAACACACATCAGGGACTACAGAGATAGAGAGTTTTATCAGAACACACCTTTCAGACAAGTTACTAAATCGTGGCTTTAACAGCAAGTAATGTGTCTGAAAGTGCAGTGCAGAAATCCAGACTGCAAATAGGCACCCATGAACAGGACTGAGCTCTGCAAGGACTTCTTGTGTAACTTCACCAACCCCTAATACTCTTTAACATCATGAGAACCTTCCTTAGGTAGCCAGAAACACTTGCATGCCACCTTCATTAGGATAATAATATGTTTCCTTACAGGAACTGCCCTTTGCCATCATTCAAGTGCTGATCAAAGTAAACCCATGTAAGAAAGGCTACCACGGGATGGTGTGGTAAAAAGACCCAGATGAGGTAAGCAATCTATCTCCCCTACTGATGTTCCCAGAATGGAAAAGTCTAAATATCAGACATTTGAATGAACAAGCAATTGCTCATCCTCTTTTTTTGCTGATGTTCATGAACTTTGGCCATCTAGAGTTAAAAATTTGACTGAGTGAAATGAGATTCCCCCTACTGACCTCAGTCTTTTCCTCTTTGAAGAAGTAATAATAAAAATGGGATTGTTTTCAAATGGGATCCCATTTCAAAGCCTGATTTGTGTATGCAACAAGCCATTTCATATTACTTTTCTCGACATTACAAAGGCAATTTGTTTCCAGACAGTGCAGAATAATTAGTTCACTCTTCAACAAAACAAGGTTTTCTCTATATTGTGCCTGTTACCCACCCTGAGTTTCCACGGGAAGCAGCCTGAACTCCACACACATATCAGACTATTAATGCCATGGGCAGAATTGAAAAGAGAGTTTCAACACTCTAAAGTTTCTGCTGCCGCTTCCTCTCTGACAAACTAAACACTGCCACCTGCCGACACCCAAAACCTGAACTTGAAAGGATTGTTTTTTTATTCCCCACTCCAGACACATTGCCCAAGAGGCACAATACCACCTGTAAGGAAAGTATAACATCCCAGATAAACCATAAATCGATGTCTGAATTTCTCAAGTATTATTGTTGCTTTTTTTTGTTCCAATGCTGTAGCTACTTTAATTTTAGCTTCTAAATTTCAGTAGTTTTAGTCCAAGTCTGATCTTGCAATTTGACTGACAAGCACATATTTTTACAATCCAAGCCCCCACCACACATAACAGACACCCATGTGAACTTCTGTTTGTTACGAGCTTTATAACAGAACTGTATGTTCAAGATTTGATAGTCCAGGGTTGATTGAATGCTGTGGTCCAAATAACATCTGCTCCTCCAAGATTTTTCCATACCTATGGCTTGACAAACAAGAAAAAACCCCTGTGATCGTTCTCACATCACTCAGCCCCAGCAGCACCAAAGATATAACTAAAGCATTATTTTAATTATTCTTTTATACAATTACACTGTCCACCAAGAGACACCTATACAGTCACAACAGTTCAGTCACAGCGTGTGAACAAGGGTTCTGTTTCGCAGCTCCTGCACATATTCTTTTGCCTGGTCAAAGCCAGTCCTTGGTGGCTCTGGAGGGGGAGGAGGACCTTCCATCAGCTTCACAAAGTAGTGGCACCTGTTGATTTTCATGAAGGCAAACATGCCCTTGGCGTGGTAACGGATGTGCTTCGTGTAGCGGCCTCTGCCCGTCAGGGACTCGGCTGGAGGAAACAGGAGGGGAGAGAGAGATTGTTCAGTGGAGAATGAGCTGTCACAGGAACACCTGTCCTGCCTGTGTGTGTTTTGTGGCTGCTCCTGGAAAGTTAATTCCACTCAGGATTCTCTCCCCCATCTTTCTTCTGGTACATTCAGCAGATCAGTGCTACGGAGGGGGACCCATGAGCTGAATTAACACTCATCAGGAGCACAAAAAAGGTGAATTTAGGAAGCGTGCACACAAGATAAACATGCAAGAAAGGACAAATCCAAAGGAAGCTAGACTGAACACTTACAGATTATACAGCTCTTCTGAAGGTGATATTAATATCACTGCTTTTCAGTAGTTTGCCTCATGAATTCCTGTAGAAGTCTTACAGACTTCATTTTCTCCCTTTACTGCATATATCATGGGTATTTTCATTATCTACACACCCAGTCCTGCACTAGCAGCTGAACCTTCTTATGGCAGAGGCCTGGAATGCTCCAAAGAATTCTAATTCTGCTCTGCAGTCCAGGTGACTTTAAGCTTATAAGATCTGTTCAGTAAAATTTATGCCACATTAGACAAAATGGGAAGTATTTTCTTTGGGCCTAAAAACACCTACAAGTAAATATTTCTCTAACATTTTTCTGGGCTAAAAGGTGCTGTAGTTATTCCAAGCTTATCCTGTAAACATCTAAAGAAAAATCTTTTAATTGAGAAGTTTTCTGTCAATACTCATTTATATTTATACAGTTTGTGACAGAAGTTTAATTCTGACCCTGCAAATCTGGCTGTACCAGCCACAGACAAAGCCTCCAGCATCTCTGTTCACTGGCAACATGAAAAAGTAGTAACAGTTTTGTTTTCACATTCATGTCAAGCATCTTCCTCTTCAGGACCTTCTGTTCACATAGGGAGCAGAAATTCCACTCTCAGATGAATGCATCTTAAAAATGATGCATCTGTCAGATGCCAGAACACCACCAGTCAGGCACCAACTCCAATAAAGTTTTTGAGCTGAAGGCTCAAAACCCACCACTAACTTCAGCTGTGCTGCAAGCACGTGCCTTTCATGTTCTGGCAAAGATAAGTTCAGCAGAAACTCTCCTCTATTCATTTCTGCTGATTTGAAGCCAGAAAAACTTATTAAGGATAAAACTTTTTCACAGGGCAGCATAGGGTAGGATGACAATTTTCCTGCACTAAATTAAAAAAAATGTACCTATATGTAAATTGGATTTGAATTCCACGTTGTGCTTTCTTACGGCCAAGTCCTGCGCTTCCAACAGAACCTGTAACAAAAGGAAAAGAAATGGAAATACCTGAGGAGGAATTCAAGCAATGCTGTTTCTTATCTCTAGATAACATGGAAGAAATTGGAAGTTTAAGTCAGTTATAGAAAAAGTATTTTATGGAGATAAAAGTTGTTAAAAGACAAGCATCTTTTACATAAGGACGTTCCTTGCATGCAGACTGAAAAAGCCTCAGGAGAATTTTATTATATTTTGGGGGAGGAAAGGAAGTGGAAAAGGCCTTTCCTTGATAACATCCTTCATCTCTTACAGTTTTAAGAACCAAAGCACACAGATGTAACAGCCATTAGAGACCAGGATTCTGCATCATTTACCATGAACTTAACACCAAGCACCGTTACAGGGGTACCCACATGTAATTTATCATCATGACAAATTAAAACAGCCAGCACAAGTGACCCAAACATATTTAAAAGTCACAACATGGCACGACTGCAACAAAAATATGTTGTTTGAAGGTGTTCCCAACAGCCTTACTCGAAACATAAGACCCCACAGAAACATCTCCAAACTTCTGGTGACAGGTATTGATCTTAAAAGTTTTCTTGAAACTAGAAGTGTTAAAGAATACTACTACATACCTCTTTGATCACCTTTGCTCCCTTTTTGTCACTAAATTCCAGCTGAGCAAGAGCCTGATCAATGGACATTCCTTTTATCTGCAATCAGAGCGTTAAAATTAACTCCTGTAATTATAACTATTTCCTTTCTTTTATTCAGAAGACATTACTTGCCTTACATTGCCATTATGAAAACCAAAAATACTTTACTTTCCTTGATTATCACTTCAGTATCTTACACACAGAAATTCTGAGCTAAATATTGAATAAATCTTGATAAAACATTCAATTATTTTTCCTTAAAGAAAAAAACCCAATCCATTACTATCTTTCAAAATTCCCATTGCCATCTACTGCTAGGCAGAAATCAACGTGGAAATTCTTCCACAGTGCAAAATCTCTGCATGATCCTGGGTACACCTGAGAGAGCACACTGGGATAAAGCAGCTAAACCAAACCACAAACAGCTGCTCCCTGTGCAGATCCAGGCTCATCCCAAGGACTCAAGTGTTGAAGAGGCTGATTAGACTGTGGCTAAATGAGGCTGTTAAAGCAAATACAGCAATCAGATCTTCCATTCTAACAAACACAGTACAAATGTTCTTTGCTTACCAGTTTTGCCAGATACCACATCTTATCTCTGCTGTATTTTATGTCCCTCCTACAGTGATATATCACCTGGATGCAAAAAAAAAAGAAGTTAAGAGGATCAGTAATTTTGCTGTGAAAATAAGAATGGACCATCCATGTCTGCTCCACAATTTTCTTGCTAGGAATAAAATAAGTATGGCTCTCCCTACTATACCATGAGCACACTGGACCAGGCATTTGAGATTTGAAACTTTGATATTTTGTTTAATGCAATTCTATGACAATTAGTTCATTAACAGGAGTCCCTGAAAAGGATAATCAGAAGATTTTTCACCATCTTCTTCCCTCATCCTCCCCACCTTTAGAAGCAAAGACTGATATGCCCATTCAGTCTTAAAAATATTATTCTGCTGTTGAGTCAACTTACTGGGAGAACTAAACAATATTACCAGAATGAACTTAATTAGCACTGCAGAAGTGAAGAGGGTTTCAAGTTTGATTGGCATGATGAGCTGCCTCCTTTATAAACAGGTAAAAAACAGATTTAATAAGCTAGTCAGTTGACAGCTGCACCTTCACCCACATTGCATCAGTCAGCACAGGACACACCAGGGGATTTCTGCATCCTAGGGCTTAAATGGTCACAGGGGCAATCAGTAAATGCTCATGGCCCACAAAAGTACATGCCCCAAAAAATCTCTTTTCTTTTGAGATGCAAACACTTTGCTTTGCTGAGCAGTGTGTCCAACAGAGGCCACAACACATCAATTCCCAATGGAGAAAAATTACAAAAATGGAATTCAAAAACATCAGTTCTTGACAAGTGAGTAAACACTGAAGAGTTAAGCTAAAATCCTCCCAAGTTGAGCATCCTTACAGCTGGTCTGCGGGGTTCTCCAGGCAGCTGTGGAGGGTAAACAACCCTGTTCTTCTTCTCCCACTTCCCAGTCTTCTGCAGAGATGTGCTTGTATGGATGCAGGACACAGGGAAAAGGCTCCAGGATGGCAGCCACCTGCAAGACAAGACCACAGCCTCAGCTGCTGAACACAACAGGTCTTTTTTCCCTACCCAGTTTAGCTGGAAAATTGTGGACTTTTCTGTGCTGATAACAAGAACTGACACATCTTCCTACTCACAAAATCTAACCCCTAAAGTTTATTATAGTTTATGTTGGAAGGGCTTTTTAATTCAACAAGAAACCCCAGGCTTCCTAAAGCAAACCATGAACCATCAGTGGCACTGATACAGCACAGGACTCCACATTTAGTGTCCCTGAATCACCCCACAAAGGCACAGTCACCTGTTTATCTCTTTTCCAAGACTCACCAATACTTATTTAACCTTTATCAACAACCTTTTTAGCCATCAAAATTTCCAGCTTTTCAAGGGGCTGAGTACCTCAAAGCACTAGAACTTTATAAACAACGTGAAATCTGAAAGGAAAGGTGTTCTGAACTACTTCCAGAATGCAATCGAGTCAATATAAGACAAGCTGACAGCGAAAAAAAATCAGTCTTCAGTCAGTCTGCTCACCTCAGAGTCTGAAAAACCAAGCTGCATTTTGCCCCCTGCTGCCTAAACAAAGCAGCGCTGGGCAGCCACTCCCAACTACAAGAAACAGATGAGTTCAAGACCAAACGTTGTGAGTTTTACTGAGCCTTGAACGGCTTCACGTGGGTGGCCAAACTGTGCAAAGCATCTTAAAAATGGCTGGCAAGTAAAACGTGCTGATTAATTTCAAGAGGACATGGTACACCTCTAAGTTTTGGTTTATTTGATTAATACAAGGCAACAATTCATCATCATCAGACAGAATATCGCAGATTATAACAGGAAAATCTTTGACAAGCACATGAATATCATTCTGCTGTTTAACAAGTTGAGCAGGAATGAACTAAGCATTCCCTTCCTGGCCTCAGAGAGCACGTCAATATATCTGATAATTTAAGGAACTTCACATTCTCTCTATCTTAAGGCAATCCAGACTCACGTGAAGAGCAAAACTCTATCCTAACTTCAGGAAAAGGAAGAGGACACAAACACATTGCAGGCAAGAGAAAACCGTGACAAACAACAAGCAAAGCACGTTATATGGGGTAAGGGAGGGGAATATCTGCCCGTGTCCCACGGCCCGGGGAGGGCAGGGGGGCCAGCAGAGCCACACTCACCTCTCGGGCAGCGCCCACCCGAGCAGACCCCGCGCCCAGGAACCACCTGAGAGGAGGAGCAGAGAGCGAGGAATAAACACAAGCGTGGAACCACAGAACGGCCTGGTTGGGAGAGACCTTGAAGATCATCTTATTTCAACCAGAGATACCTCCCACTATGCTAGGTCGGTCCAAGTCCCACTCAACTTGGTCTTGGACATTTCCAGGGATGGAGCAGCCACAGCTTCTCTGGGCAATCTGTGCCAGGGCCTCACCCCCTCACAGGGAAGGGTTTTTTTCTAATATCCTATCTAAACCTACTCTCCGTCAGTGTGAAGCCATTCACCCTCGTCCTGTCACTGTAAACAATCACTCCCCGTCTCCCCTGCCCGCTCCTTCAGGCACCACAGCAAGGCCACAACCAGACCGCCCCAAAGCTTCTCCTCTCCAGGCTGAACAACCCCAACTCCCTCAACCTTTCCTCACGGGAGACGCCCCGCCCCTCTGACCACCTCGGTGCCCTCCTCTGAGGGGCGAGATCCCCCGGCATCGCCGCGTCCCTCCCTCCCTGCATCGCCTCACCCGCGCCCAGCGCCCCGCGCGCCGCCATCTTCCCGGCCGCGCTTTGCGGCAGGGCGGGGGCACACAGGGAGGCGCGGGGTTTGCGACGGTTTTGCGACGGCGCTGGGCGGCAGCGCCCGGGGCACGTGGGGGCAGCGGGGGCGATGGCGGCGGGAGCGGGGACGGGGATGGGGACGGGGATGGGGACAGGGATGGGGGTGATGGCTCTGCCCGCCTCCCCCAACTGGTACAGCAGCCGCTGCAGCGACGCCAGCAGCGACGGCCGCTTCTTCGGCTTCGCGGCGCGGCACCGCGTCTGCCTGCTGGATGTGGGAGCCGCCGCTCCCGCGTTCTACGGTACCGTCACGGCCCCCCCTGGGCCCCCGCGTTGTGCGGGCAGGGACCGGGACCCGCAGGGGAGGTGTGGGGCGGGTGGGGGGTGTAGGGATCGGGGGTTTGATCACGGTCTGTCGCTGTCGGTGCAGGGGAGCTCATCGGGCACACGGACAGGATCTCCGGGTTCGCCTTCTGCCACTGCCCCGGGCAGAGCGGGCTCTGCGCCAGCAGCTCCGACGACGGCAGCATCAAGATCTGGGAGGCGGCGTCGCTGTCGCCGGTGCTGGAGTACAGCCGGCACCAGGTGGGAGCGGGGCACAGAGGGACCTGCGGGGGGGTGCGGGGTTTAGGGCTCGCACTCAAAGCGGGGTGAGGCTGCCTCGCCCAAAGGTGAATTTCGAACCCTCCGGCCGCGTTTTAGTTCTGCCCCGCAGCCTCGTTGCATCACCTCAATGAGCTGGAGGTTGCCATCAAAGCCGCGATAAACCGGTGTGCTCACGGTCTGGGCTCGCTGCCACTTAACCCATCCCGCTTAAAATGACCTCAGCGCGTCAGTGCTCCCCACGGGGCAGACTAAAGGTGCATTTGAACCTTTTCTGTGAGTCGGGACAGCAGCTCGGCATCTACATCCATTTAAAGCCTGACAGACCCGAGGCACATTGGAACAAACTGAACTGGTGCTGGGGAGTGCTCACGGATTGTTTACTCCCCTTTGCTCTGTGTTAGGTGGTGGTGGAACAGCTCTAAACGTGTTCAATCCTCTCTCCTCAGAACCCGATCTCAGCACTGCACTGGTCACCTCTTGTGAAGGATCTCATCGTGTCTGGGGATGAGAAAGGTGTCGTTGTTTGCTACTGGCACAACAGAAGTGACAGCCAGCAGTTCTTCCCGGAGCCTCGCACAGTTTTCTGCCTCACTTGTTCCCCTCATCATGAAAACCTGGTGGCCATTGGGTAAATATTCATCGGGGTTTGTTTTCCACTATTCTCCTGCAAGAACCTTATTGGGAATTTTTTTGCTTCATGGCAGTAAGGTTAATTTTAGGAGGTTTTGGAGGCTGTTCTTCTAGTGCACAACAAGTTAGAAGTAACATTTTAGATGTGGTAAACCTGCAAGATGCAGAAATCCATAACAGTGTAATGGTTCAAGCTCAGTTTGTATTTCTGAGGTTTCTTAAAACTGTTATTTTTAATTATTGAAAGCTGCATTAGTAATGAATTGTTGTCATTCCTGAAGCCAAGTGTAGTGGTTGCCCAGCTGCAGGTACCCCAGAGCACAGTGGAGCTCCCATTCCCATCAGCCTGCCAGTCCCATTGCTGCTAGGATTTGGCTTCTCTGTCTGTAATGTGATGGTGATCCTGGAAAGAGCTTGGAAATGACTCAGGTATTATCCCACAGGCATCCAAGAATCTCTTCATTAATTTAGATCTCTGCTTTCAGCTACAAGGATGGCATGGTGGTTGTCATTGATATCAGCAGGAAAAGAGAAGTCCTGCACAGGCTGAGGGGCCACGAGGATGAAATACATTGTCTGGCCTGGTGCCCTGTGCCTGGTGAAGAAAGGTTACCTGCCTGGCAGGATGAGCTCCAGGGTATGTAGAATTGATTAACAGTTTGTGAAGTGATTTTTATTTCATGTAAATGTCTGTTTCTAGGGAATTTCATTCCTTATAGGAGGTTAGTAAGCAGCTAAGCAGAGGCAACTGATCAGTACAGTGTGTTCTGATACAAACCAGTCTATTTTTCAGCTAATGTTTTTTGTAAAGCTTTGAATTTCAAAGTGTAATAACCTGACTTCACTGGTGTTCAGCAGTTCCTTCAGAGGAAGGCAAGGTTCCAAATGGGGAGCTGACCCAGGACACAACCACAAAGAAAGGCTGTTACCTGGCTTCGGGAAGCAAAGATCAGACCATACGAATATGGAGCTGTACCAGAGGCAGGAGTGAGTAGCGTTAATAATGTGAGATAAACAGTGACAGTGTGGTGGAAGAGCTGCTAATTTGCTAGTTTAAAGCATTTAAAAGCACATTTAAAGTGCACTTAAAGCTGCAGATTCTCAGGGCTGCTCTTTCTGTCAGGGAATTCTGATGTGCAAGGTCTGGATGATCCCTCTTGGTTCCACAGGTGTGCTGACTCTGAAGTTGCCCCCCACCAAAAGGAGAGGTGGAGCTGTCGATCCCGCTGTCAAGGAGCGCATTTGGCTCACTGTTCACTGGCCTCCTGGTCGTGCCACAGAAATTGTGTCCAGTGGTTTTGGGTGAGTAGGGACCTCAGCAGCCTGGGGACCATCAGCAGCTGCAGATTCATTTGTTTGAAGCTTAAGGAAGTGCTGGGTAGAAAAGACACTCACTCCTTTCCTCCTCTTTCCCCAGTATAACAGGAGAGAAGATAGGCCAAGAGTTAAAGTGGAAGTTCAGGCTTCTAGGAAACTGTTTGTCCCATATTTTCTCCCCTAATCTAAGTGAATGTTGGCTGCTAATGGTACAAGTTGTGTTTTTGCCCATCTGATGGGGAAAAGGGACCTGTCAGGGGTTTTCAGGGGATGTTTGTGTGTAGCTGTGTGCAGGCAGGTGCACTGGATGTGTGTTGAGCTGTATTACTCTTGTACTTGCAGAATACAAGGCCATGGTGTCTGTATGTGGCCTGGGTTGTTCTTTTGAAGTGAAAAATGAAATAAATTTAAATTTTGCAGAGGAGAACTGCTTCTTTGGAACTTGGCCCAACCTGGGAAACGCAAGTGGACTCTTCTGGGATCTTCAGAAGGACAGAACCACTCCCGAATTGTGTTCAATCTCAGCTCTGTGAAGCAGCAGGACAAAGAGCTCCTTTTTTCCATTTCAATGGACAGAGATGTAAGAACTATTTAGAAATTAACATAAGAATTCCTGTAGTGTACAGTTTGACTGAGCCAAGCTAAGCCTTTTAGGGCCACAATATTTCTCTTTAAGTGGTTTTATTGCAGCATTTTATAACATCATTGCTGAACGTTTGCTCTGAGCACAGGTTGTGTATTTTTTTGTTAGCTTGTAAGCTCAAGTTCTTACCATGGTGAATTCTAGACTAGAATGGTAAGCATTTAATAAAGAGTATTTACCACTTCTTTTTCCTATTTCACTTTTAAAAGGTCTGGTTTTCCTTCTTAAAATCATTTAATTGTAGAAAATAAATCATCTGGGTGTTTTTTTTTTTTCTTTTAATCTTTGGCCTCTTACAGGCAGCTGAGTGCCTCCTATTTTGAAATTGGAAGAGGACCATAGTATTAAAATATATTCATTGTGTCCATTTCATTACAGTCTTCCAACTCTTGGCAGCCCTGCCAGTGACGTGTAATCCTCTGGGTGCAGATCACGTACTGTCAGGCCTTGAATTTGACCTTTTAATTCTTCATCTCACAGCATGCTTTGTTTTTCCTTGTTGGATCAGTCACTCTATATTGAACTATTCCTTGCTCTTTAAATATTCTTCAGGTGAAGTGCTGGGACCTGTCAACTCTGGATTGCAGCTGGACCATGCCCTCACTTGGAGGCTTTGTCTATAGTCTTGCCTTCTCCCCTGTGGACACAGGCTGTCTTGCCATCGGGGTTGGAGACAGCATGATCCGGGTGTGGAACACTTTGTCCATGAACAATGTGTACGATGTTAAAACCTTCTGGCAAAGCATAAAGTCCAAGGTCACAGCAGTAAGTGTGCTTTGGATTCCTTTTTTCTTAACTCTTATCTCTTCTCCTCTTTTCACTCCATTTTTTTCCAAGTATGTTTTTTTTCTCTTTTACTCCGAAGAAGGTTTTTCCAAACAAAAAGTAGACAAAGCCAAGTCGTTCGTTTTGTACCCGATTCTTTCAGTATACAAGGCATTTTAGGATCTGCCAACAAATTTTTAGACCTATTTACAACCCTAGGTGCCCTCACTACATCTAGTGCAAATCAGCTGAAGACCAGCTGGCTGTTACATTACTTTTTTATTTTATCCTCCTTCATGATCCTTCCTTGTTTCATCCATGGTTGCCCTTGTTCTGCTTGGAAGTTTGAGACATAAAAAAACCAACACAACCAACACAGATGTCTTCAGTTTAGGTTTAACTGGGAGCTGGCCAGAAGCTACAGTCTGGTAAAATAGCTGGCAGAACTAAAACCACATTTTCCATTCTTGTTTTGCAGTGTAGGTGTGAAATTGCATTTTAATGATTTGTAGTCCATTTTATCCTATCCCACCATATCTAGTAGGGGGAGAGCCTTTGATACTCAGAGCAGAGTGATCAAATCCAGTGGCTGTATTTAGGAGGGTGGGTGTAAGACATAGTCCTTGCTCAGCAGTTTCAACATTTTCCTTTTATTTATTATTGAATTGTCTTAGCTAATTGTCATTATGTGTTCCTCTGTATTTTTCTTGCAGTTATCCTGGCATCCAACTAAGGAGGGCTCCTTGGCTTTTGGAACAGACGATGGAAAAGTTGGCATATTTGACACCTTCTCCAGCAGGTAAAAAAGTAGCTTCCAAATTCATTGGTGTCAGATCCTGCTGGTGTGTTACCACACGTGGGTGGTGTGGTTTTTCCTGAGGGATATCTTTGCTGTTGGACAAGAGCAGGACTGAATTAAAACTACTCAACCAGTTTGATTTTCGGTGCATTTTTTCATCTCCATTATGTTTGATAGCTTCTAAGGTCAACTTGCCTTCAGGTAAACTTTAAGTTGCATGACCAGAGATCACCTGTGGGAGGATATCAGCTGGGGAGGGCTTTAGCCAGAAAGACTATTTCAGGACAGTTTGTAGTAGTGTCCTAGAGCAGATGTTGAAGAAAGCTTGGTTGGCTTCAATATGTTAAAGCACCTGGTGTCTGGAAATACGTTGCTTTGATTTTATCTTTTTTTAATTTCTGTTTGCTGAAACCTGACTGACCCTTCTTCCTTTTCTTCCTGCCCAGTGCTAAGAACAAGCCACCTCAGATCTCCAGTACTTACCACAAGAAGACTGTGTATGCATTAGCCTGGGGGCCTCCAACTCCTCCTCTGACTTCTGGTGAGTCTTCCAGCACCTTGTGATAAAGCAGAACATTCATGCAGAGCTCAGAGATGCCATGAAGCTGGGATGCCCTCCCTTCTAAGGAGAAGGAGCCCCATTTGCTTGGTAGCAATCCTCTGTAGCAGCTAAGAATGCATTCTGCTTGAGGAACTGTTAATAATTTTTGCAAAATTCTTCTAGTTTTTGAATTCTGATATCCTCAGGAAATAGGTAGGAGGATTGTGCCCACACCTCTGGGCTTGTTTCAGGGTGTTACAGCCCAGTAACTCTGCACAGGCTTCTTGCAGTGACTGCATCAGATCAAATACATGTTCCTGAGCTCCAGAAGTGAGTTTCTGCCCTTTGAACTGAACAGAACTGCTCCAATAGCTCTTCTTACACAACTTGAATTTTTTTTTTTTTAGGATCAAACTTTAAAGGGTGTTTTAATGCTTGCAGTGATTGTGCCATGAGAGATCTTTTGGTAGAAATGAGAGATCCTTTCAGAGGATTGTGTTGTGAGAATTTCCTGCTGCTGGACCACAGGCAATTGACGCATGCATAGAGCCTTCTGAAATAATGCTTTGATTTATAGTGGGAGTGATTACTTCTGTGAAGATTGATGAAGAACAAAGTATATTTAGCTTTCTTTCTTTGTTGGATAGGGAAGAAAGTGAACAGCCCTCTGTAACTTTATACAGTTGTGCTGGAGAAGGTATTGTTTTTCAACACAATCCCTGGAATCTTAATGGAGAAGCAAATGACATCAACAAAGTCATCCGAGACACTAATTCAATCAAAGTGAGTATGAATTTGAGGGGATTTTATGAATTCACAGTAACCACGTCAGAGTTTCTGTGGCTTTGTAGAAGTAAGCTTCTGACTTTGCCTTCCTGATGTATCTGTAACAAAGAGTTTGAAGCCCTCAGTCTCCACAGGTGAACTTCAGAGACACTCACTGACTCAAACTCTTTTAAACAGTTTATATAGTTGTCTCTGAAAAGGGTTGTTTTATTTTTCCCAAAAAGGGATTAGATCTTCAGTTCCTTTAAGTCACCGTGCCAGCTGAAGTCAATCCAATGGTATTGATTTATATCAGCTGGGTTTTGGCTTCTTCCTTGAGTGAAGATTCTCTAGGGGTTAAGAGACTAATGTCACAGGCATTGAAATGATCTTCTTTAGGCATCAAAGTTGTAAGTAGCTTTTGTCTGAATTTGAAAGAATAATTACAAGCAAACTTTGGTTGCTTTTGAAATACGTTAAAATTTGCTTGCATGTCTGGGGCTCTCCAGAGATCAAACATCAAGACCTGATTGGAATCCAGACAAACTTCCTTTGAGATGTTTCACTAAATAATAATAATAATAAACTGATAATAATAATCATTGGTTCTCGCATCAGTTCATTCAGTCTTTCTTAATTGCTCAAGATTATGTCACTGCTACAAAAGCAGTGGCCCCTTTTGTGAGATTAATTGCAGCTCTGTCCAGTTGTGAGTCTTGCTCTGACAGAGATTTAAGAGTTTTTGGCAATAGTTGTGTCTTCTTTCTACAGCACAAACTGCCTGAACGTACAGAGATCAGCTGGAAGCCAGATGGCAAACTCCTGGCTCTTGGCAATGAAGATGGGTACGTTTCACTTGTAGGTCAAGTGTGATGTCTGTGCTGATCTTCACTGGAGTCACTGGTGAAGCAAAAGTACTTCTTGTTGCCCTGCTTTGTCTGTTGTTCTTTCCCTGCTGATGTATTTGAGTTATGATAATATAGGATTCCTTGTTACTTGTTTTAGCTGCTCTTGTCATGGAGGATCCTCTTTATCACATTCAATTGTTTTTCAAGGATCCACTCATGGTTGAAATGCACTTTTGCTGATGTATCAAACGAGGGTTTGGGTTGAATCCACAAAGCACAAACTCAGTTATTCTAATTTATGTTCTATAATTCTGCTCATGCAAGATAACCATTTTCACCGAGTACTGGAATTCTTACACTGTTGTTCTTATATTTCAGCTCAATTGAAATATTTCAGGCCCCAAACTTGAAGTTGCTCTGCACTATCCAGCAGCATCACAAGCTGATAAATGCCATTCGTTGGCACCACGAGCACGGGAACCAGCCAGAGCTGAGTTACTTGATAGCTTCTGGCTCAATCAATGCCACTATTTATGTCCATAATCTGAAGAGCGTTGTAGGTAACAGTTTGCAGATTGTATTTCAAGTCTTGGCATCTTTTTTTTGGTTTGGTTCTGGTTTGTCTTGCTGGCCATACTTGATCCTGTTCTTGGTTTTCTTTCAGAGAACACTTCAGAAAGTCCTTTGACAATAACAGAACCTTTTCGAACTCTGGCTGGGCACACAGCTAAAATCACAAGTCTTTCTTGGAGCCCCCACCATGAGGGAAGATTGGTATCTGCTTGCTATGATGGCACGGCACAGGTATTGTCCACAGCCACTCAGAAGCGTTGCTAAACAGCACAGCTTTTCTGTGAGGTAAACTACAGATTTTCTGAGTAACTGGGTTTCTTTCTCATTGAAGGTATGGGATGTTATGAAGGAAGAGCCACTTTGCAACTACCGAGGGCACCAGGGCCGCCTGCTGAGTGTCCAGTGGTCACCAGTGGATTCAGATTGTGTTTATACAGGAGCAGATGATTTTTCTGTCCACAAATGGCACATCTCAAAGCAGGAGCACACACGGCCCCCTCAAGGTAAGTAGATTCAAACAAAAACATCCTTTCCTGAATGTGATATTGGAGGTGGGAAAGGGGGCTGCCTGCTTCCTCTTCAGGAATAAACCATCCAGGTTTAAATGGAGTTCTATCCTTATTTGGAAACTAAACATTGCTCTTCAGAGACAGGCAGCTAAAACACTAACATTGCAATCTTTTATAGGCAAGAAGAGTATAGAATTAGAGAAAAAAAGAAGTATGCAACCAAAGGTCAAAGCCAAGAAGAAGAAAAAGCCTATAGGACAGAGTCCAGGCAAGCAGGATGTAAATGATGCCACGAATGGAGATGAAAGCATGAAGGAAACATTGCTGGAGGAAAATGGAGTGTTGGACCATGAAGGAGAAAAAGCTCAGGAGGCAGAGTTGCCTGATAAAGTGTCTACGACTGGTAATAATTCAGTCATCTTAGTTCAGTGGTTCCCGGACTGTTCAACCCTCAGAGCATCACCAAGTTTAATTTTCATGCAGATTTTCTCATTATATGGTTTTATTGAAATTACCCACTTGAAGGAAACATGCTTCTGGAATGCCTTTCATAATTTTCTTAACTAGTTTGGGACTAATTGTCTTTAAATAAGAAGATTCTGGCCTCATGAACAGTTACTGTGTTTGGCTTGAAACAATGTGATTTTTTTGATCAGCCTTGCCTTCTGGGGATAAACCTTATAATACTAGTGGACCTTCATTAATGTTTGTTGAGATCTTATTTAGCCTTCTGACAATTCTCTAATGTTCTCTTGCTATTTCCTTTCCCTAAAAAGCTATTAAATTCTATGGCAAAGCAAAGCTTGGTATATGTCAGACTTAATGTAACAGATTGTGAATATGTGAATTTTTCTGCTGTGGCCTTTTCCATTCATTGTTTTTCCTTTCTTCAATCACTTAACTCCACAGTGTCCAAGAATACATCTTCATCTGCGTATGATTATTCTTCATTCAACTTGCCAAAGCCTTTGTGACCCAGAAAGCTGCTCCTGTGAAAAAGGATCCACCTAAAGAGAAACCAAGTGAGTATGTTTTAGGGTCTTTTAACAATCCTGCAGGGTTTCTCGTTCTAGGCTTGTGTTTGGCTGCAGCTTCCCCTCCTGATGTGACACATAATGAGTGCCAGAGCAAATAAGAGTGTGCTTGTTTATCTTAATTGCCCTGTTTGTCAGATCAGTTCAGTAGTTGTTTAATGGGGGCTTAGATATTGCCTTTTAGTTGCTAGTTTTATGCCAGGCAAGCTGGGCAGAAAATATGCAAAGTGATCAGTATTCACAAGTCAGGATTTTCATAGTAAAGATTTTTGCCGCTCTTGAGCATCTGCTTTTTGATTTCCACTGTGAGGAAGAGGGTGCTTTGGAATATGTTGAGGAATTCTGCTCTAACTGCAGCAGTGACTAAAATGTGCCTGATTTTTCAGCTCCTGATGCCTCTCTGAAGAAGAGGAAGCCTCGTTCTATTCTGCCCTTCAGCACGCTCATGGATCACAGATCAAAAGATGAATTGCATCAGGACTGCTTGAGGCTGGCTACATGTCTGAAAACTAAAGGTATCAGTACAGAACTAAAATGCTTAGAGGGTGGATGTTCTCAAGTTCTCAGAATCGTGTGTGTCCAGGGACGTGGCTGACAGCTGGGCATTAGTTTTTTCAAAATCCTCCCCTTTATCAGTGTGTGACTAATTGTGGTCTTTTATCTCACTTCTCCTGCAGTGTTTCTGTGCTCTGTAGGCACTCAGCCAGGTTTTGAGTAGGATCCTATGTTGTGGAGGCAGGGTAGAATTGTCTGTGTACGTGCAAAGTGCTTTTCACCTTCAAAAGTATAATGTGAGCAGAGGAAAATGAGCCATGAGGGAGATGTTTGTGTACTCACAGTATTGTTCCTTAGAGCATGCAAAGGAATGTGCTATGTTTGATTGGGAATAAATGTTCTGTGCAAATATCATCCTTCTAATCAAACTTAAAACTGAGTGTTGATCTGCAAATTGTTAAATCTGCTGTGCAGTAAAGGAAGTAAAAGACATAAGTATTTGCCAACAGTTGAGTGTAACTGAGTGGTGCGGTGACTTGGCACGTTTCAGTTCCCAGTGTTGTACCAAATCTTAAATCTGCTTCTTAAATCTTCTTCTTATCTGGTTTAGATAATAATGAAGGTGTGTCCCCTGACCTTAAGGATTGCATCCACTTGGGGCTGTTCACAGACAGGGATTCTCTGCACAAGATGATTGATGTGGAAGGTAAGTGGAAGAATGAATCCATTTTGCCAGTATGTCCATTGCAACTGTTATGTTCAAGGAGAAAACAAATTGGGAAAAATGCTTGAGTTTTCTCTACTGTGGATGACAGTCTAGGATTAAGAATGCTCTTCTGTATGAAAAGAAGAAAATACATCTTTTTCCCAGAAAGTTTTTACACCTTTCAGATGCAAACCCGTCATATCTTCGGATTGATTGATCTCACTTTTGCCAAGATATTTTACTGTGACAAATAATGCCATTGCACTCCTGCTGATAGGAGGTGTGTTTGCTTCCAACAGGAAAACATCACTTGGAGAATGGGCATCCAGAGCTCTTCCAGCAGCTCATGTTGTGGAAAGGAGACATGAAGGGTGTCCTCCAGGCAGCTGCTGAGAGGGGGGAGCTGACAGACCAGCTCGTGGCAATGTCACCCATGGGTACGTTTGCTCATCCATCAGCGGGTGAAATTGGCTGCCAAGCCCTCATGCTGGTCCTTCTGGGATAGGAACTCAGGAGTTGGTTCTTTCTAATAAGTAGCAGTCCTCACAGCTTGCTGTTGGTTTAAATATGCTTTTAAGTTATTTTACTGGTAGTGAACTGCTACAGTCACATTCAAGCCCTAGTTTTGCCCTGTTTTGTTGCCTCGTGGAGTTGTATTAGGATGGTTAAGAAATAAGAAACTCATCTGGGGCAGAGAATAGGTGCATGTTGAAGAACCAGTGATGATGTCATCCCACATGAATTCTTCCAGTTTTAACCTTTGCCTCCAGTGACATTGCCTTCTCTTTTGCAGTTGGATATCAGGCCTGGGTTTGGACAGTAGAGGCCTTTGCAAAGCAGCTGTGTTTCCAGGAGCAGTATGTGAAGGCTGCCTCCCATCTCCTCTCCATCCACAAAGTGTATGAGGCCATCGAGCTCCTGAAAGTGAACAATTTTTACAGGTTGCTGTATATTTATGTTTAGCATTTTATCTTGTTTCCTAGTGGGGTAGATTTGACATTTTATTTCACTTTTTTTACACAGTCAATTGACTTTTCTGTCTGGTTTCCCTTTATGTGCATTAGGGAAGCAATTGTGATTGCCAAGGCCAGGCTGCGTCCAGAAGATCCAATTGTGAGGGATCTCTACACCAGCTGGGCAGCTCTGTTAGAAAAGGATGGTCATTATTCCATGGCTGCCAAATGGTGAGTGTTACTAGGAAAAAGACAGAATTGGTACCATGCCTGAAACAAAGAAAAGTCCTTGGTTTTGCAGCAGTTTAAATGTGTTAACTGCTCTGGTCATCGTTTGTCTAGGGTGCTTTCTGAGCCTGTCTCACTAGATTCCCTCTAATGTAGCTGGGAAAAGAAGCTACTGCGTTGCAATACAATTTACAAACTGTATTTTAGTACTAATCAACTTGATTTGCTTTTATCTCTTTCAGTTATTTGGGGGCATCTTCACCCTATGATGCAGTAAAAGTGTTGTCAAAAAAGGGGGATGTGACATCCCTTAAAACTGCTGCTGAGCTTGCACTGATATCTGGAGAGGAGGAGTTGTCAGCAACTTTGTCTTTGAGATGTGCACAAGACCTGCTGTTATCCAGGAACTGGGTGGGAGCTCAGGAAGTCCTTCAGCAACATAAAACTTTATTTGTGAGTCCGGTCATTTCCTTTCTGGTTTCTTTAGTGTTTTGTCTCTCCAGATTATCTTAACTTGGCACCACTTCCCATATGTTAATAGTCCACAAGTAGTCTTTTGAGCTGGTTTTGCCTGAAAATATTTTTCTAGGAATATATTGCAATGACCCTAGGGAAAAACACGTGCCCTTGCAGAGGGGCCATGGTGGGGAGGTGTGTATACTCTCTGTGCTTGTTAGTTATATGAGAGGTTGTCGAGAAAAGGGGGATTCTTTTTTTAAGTGTGAGAAAAGATTTAAAGGAACAAATGAGCCCAGCTGTAAGTCCAGCTGCTGGAGGCTTAAATCTCAAATCTGGTTTTGAGTGGGCTGAGAAGCAGGCTTTTTGTTGGCTTTTTCTGAGGTTTCCTTCTGATTTCCCATCTGAGTCTCTGTCAGCATTGTTGTTTGGTAGCTGCTGTTGTCAAGTCTGTCATGATGTTCTTAATTCATTGAACCTGCTGTGATCAGCAAGGAATTGTTTCTCTCCTAGAGCTCGGTGCTCTTTTTTTTTTCCCTTTTTACAGGGGCAAAGACTTGTTTTCTGCCTGAACGAGCTGCTTTGCAAGTGCCTCAGTGAAAGAAATCCCTGTGACCGAAAGAGCCCCATTCCCCCCTGTTACCACAGCTGGGAGCTGAACAGAGAGGCCTCGTTTTTTGACATGGTGATAGAAGTGTGGCAGAATGTGTTGGGCATGGACACCACTGAACGAGCCACTTGTGCATGGGAGCAGCTGCGCCAGGTTGAGCATCCTCCTTGTACCAGCAACACACCCCCAAAGCAGGTACATGGATTTTGATCAGCACACACACGGTAAACCAGGCATTGCCAGGGGACTATGTCTGCATCCTGATGTGACTGAGGTCACCGAGATGTGCTGGCTGGGAGTGACTGAAATAGCTGAATAGTCTCAGCACTTGTTCAGGGGTTTGTATTGAACTTAGGGGGGCAGGGCTGTTAAAGTATCCTGGAGTTTACAAGGTCTGTCCATAGACTGGTGCTCCTGCAGCTCTTCTCCCTGACCACACCTGTTGGTGTGCTCCCACTTCTCATCTGCTTAGTAGGACACATGCAAGCACAGCTGCTGATTTTACAAGTATAAGGGGTGTGGAAGTGCTGTATCTCCTGCATGAAGGAGACTAAATGGTATTGTCATTAAAATTACTTGTGGTTAAGTCATGTGCTTCTGGGCTCTTCCACAGTGGCCAAAAGCTCACGCTTTGCAGTAAAAAACATTAATTGTGCTCTCTGGTGCTTCCTGTAGGTGCTTTTCCATATCTCCCATGACCTGGCCCTTGCAGCACTGAGCTGTCAGTCTGGTACATGGGACGAGGCAGTGAAAAGTATTCTTGGGGCTGTGACCCGCAGTTTTGATGCTGGTAATTTCACTCTGATGCAGGAGATTTGCAGTATCATCCTTCCTGAGGGTAAGTCTCTCCTCGTGTCTCTTCTCCTGGCCTGACAAATACAGGGCTCTTCCCTGTAAGCACAGCTGTGTGTCCATTAATGTTCCTAGGCACAGTAATGTTTGGGAGGAGCAAAACATACCCATATCTATGGAAACTTGTGGAATTTTGCTAGTGCAAGGGCTGTTGGGTGATCAAAAATCCTGCCTGTGGAAGGAAGCTCAGCTGTGTCAGCTGATGTGAGTGATGTAGGGAAGAGAGTGAATTCTGTTCTGTAAGGGAGATGGGGGACATTAGAAAGCTGTGCTCATCTCATAGTACAGATCACTCCAACCTGCCCTTCCCTTCGTTCTCTTTAGAGTATTCAGTGCGTTTATTTTGTGGCTCTTGATTTTGTGACTGTTTTGTCGTGCAGCTTGGGATCAAAGAAGTTTGCTGTAGCTGATGAGAACAGTCCCATGTTAGAATAGAGTACTGTGTTTGCAAAGATTCCAAAGATGTCTTTGCTTTCATACTTCCTGTACTGCTCTGCCAGCATCTGAGTAAATCCCTGATTTGGGTTTCCAGGGTTTCCTGGTTCGTTTACCAGATCTGCTCTTTGTCTTTGGAAAGCTCTGTGAATTATTTGTAATCCTGTTTTCATTATTAGGCTGTGATGACCTGAGACACAAACTAGACAGCACAAATTCCCAGAGCATGGATGCCTGCAGAAGTCTGGAGGGCTTTGTGGCTTACAGACTGCTCTATGACCTGTGGTGGAACACACCCAAAGACCCTCCTGGCTTGCAAAAGGCTGTGTTGGATCCTGAGCTGTGTCCCAGCGAACAGACAGCTCTGGAGAAGAGTTGCCTTTCAGGTGACTCCTCCCCTGGGGAAACGGATCAAACTCCAGCTGGGATGGATGAAAACCTCTGCAGTACAACTGAAGTGCAGAAGTGTGAGACGCAAAGTGGCTCAGGAACTAACTTGGTTGACTTGGTAGACGGACAATCAAAACTGCACGGTTGCAAAGTGCTCCTTTCAGAAGAGATGGCTGTGTTACAGAACACCCAGAGAGATATAGCAGAGGTCCAGGAGACTTTGGCAGAAATGATCCGCCAGCATCAGCAGCAGAGGAACAATCTCCAGGAAAACACAAATGGAAACGCCCAGGAAAGCAACCTGGAGCAGAGTTCAGAGACTGATTTAGACAAACCATGCTCTGACAGCAAGCAGATGAATGGGTAAGATTCAGCACATGAATTAGTGGCTTGAAAAGTATTGCTTCTTTTCTGTTTGTGCAGCAAATGCCTCTAATCTCCAGCTCAACACCAAGGGACACCTCGACATACAGTTCAGAAATCTTGCATTTTCGTGGGGCTGAACCACCGTATTCATAAATTTAGTCAGCTGAACAGCCTCATGATACACGAGGTGTGTTGTTACAGTGAAAAAATAGGGCATCTTGAAAAGGGGAGGACGATGAAAAGGACAGGCATGGTCTAAGAGGTCTGCTTCTTTGTTGAACAGTTGTTTGGGACTTTGGCAAGAAGGAGCTAGAACATTTTCCACTTATCTCCTATGCTCTGTGTACAGGAGAGAGGCTATGCAGTAACTTAAGCAGAACAGTTACTGATGACACCTGTTTTTTTTCTTGACAGCAAAGATGAAATAAAGCAACCACTTACACTCCCTGAGCTCACAAAGCAGCTTGTCAATGCGAAGCAGAAACTAGCGGAATTCCCAGACAATTTAAAGGTAAGTTTTCAGAAGAGCCATTGTGGTTCTGAAAGGGCAGCCTCCTTACAGAATCCCTTCCATAGAGGGACTGTGATCCTGTGGAATTTTGAGGCACAACTGACACGTGGCATCAGGGTGTTTTTCTTTCAAGCATAACTTTCCCAGTGCAGTTGAAAGCGTAGCCAAGGCTCCTGCATGGGAGAACTCAATGGGATATCCTGTATGGATCTATCCTATGCATTTTAGAAGTAATTCCTTGCTACTTGCGTATGAAAAAAAAATGATAAACAGTAAAATCAGGAATTTAAGCTATAAAATGGCCTTTATAGATTAGGAACTGTAGAAATGACTTATCACATGTTTGAAAACATGTAACCATGGTGATTATGCAAGAGGGGGTAAACAGAGTTAAAGGTGGAGACCATGCATCTGACTCGTGACTGCCTCTGTTTCAAGGATGCTATAGAGCAGTGTTTTTAGAGAGCTGCCTGCCTGAATATGTTGTTGAGCAATTATAATTGACAGTCACCTCATGCTCCTTTTTTTGCAGGTCTTGCCCTTCCCTGACGTGCTGGAATGCTGCCTTGTGCTCCTTCACCTTGGATCCCAGTGCCCTCCTGAGCTACGGGAACAGGCTCTGGATCTCCTTAGGAAACACAGCAGTGCTAATATTTACAAAAAGGCTGTCAGGAGGTTCCTGACATGACATTTTGAGACCAGACTGTCTCCCTTCTTGAGCTGCCTACAGTTACTTAACACCAAGGTTTGTTCTTTCTTCAAGTGAAGGCTTGTTTTGATGGCCGTGGCTGTTACTGAAACAAAAAGTCAGGTTTATATACAGACCCACTTGTGCTCATGTACTAACAACACTTAAGGACACTGTTAGGAAACTGAAAAGCAGGAGGGTGTGGGCTTGAACTGTTATACAGGATTTTTGTATTTTTTTTTTTTATTTGTTGGACACTGTGCTAATGAAAGCTCTTGCTATTTACACCTAAGAGAAATGGTTTTGAGCAGCTGTACAGTCTCAGCAGAGGAAGAGTAGCTGCCCTCAGGAAAATCGGTTTCTGTAACCAAACTGACCCTTAAGCCAGTACTGTTCCTCAAAGCATTGTGAGTTTATTTTCCCTCCTTTAAATAAAGTCTTCTACCACCATGAATTGGTATTTAATTTGATGCATAGAAATCACTATCAAGCAAGGGCAAATGCATTAAAAATCAGTCTGGGGTGGGTTGTTTTTTTTGTTGTTGTAGTTAAATGTGTGCTATGGCTTAGCATTGTGTGGTGAAGCCACCTGTACAAGGTAAAAGGGGACCAAGTTTGTTTATATTTGTTTCCAAGCATGACTAGCAAGAGAGAAGGGATTTCCCCAGGTCAGGAAAAGTCCCTGCTTTTGACTAGATCCATGGCTGAACAAACTGCTTTTTGCTACAGTGGTGGTGAATTTGAGGTACAGTCAAGCTCTCTAGAATGGTGCTATTCTAGAAGTGCCAAAACCAGTCGTGGATTCTGCAGTCTTGAACATGTAATATTTTGACCAGTTTTACACCTTCCCCTAAAGGCTTTATCTGGTTAGAAAAAGTAACTCATTCCTAAGAAAAGCACAAGGCTGTAGGAGCCTTAGTGAACATAGCAGCTGTCTTAAGTCCCTTCTAGAAGCAATGTTTTAAATGCAGCAGAAAGGTTGATATGGGTGGGAGGGGAGTATGTATCGTGAATTTAGGAAGTTTTTAAGTACACTAAAGATCATTGTTTAGGAGTTAAAAGAAGTGATGGATTTTTTAGATCAGAGGGTGTTCCAAATTCTTCCAGCCAAAATTCAGACTTAATCCTGATAGATTTCCTGCTTCAAGCTAAATAAAGCCTCAGAACAACTTCAAGAGCAGCAGGTGAAAGCCAGGGGTTGGACTATAACAAGATCTTTCTGTAGATGTGTTAAGCACCAAACTGTTGCCACCTGCTTGAACTTGCTAAATTCTGTACAAAGTACCCGAAAACCACGCGGGGGAGCCAGTGCTTAACCAACCTGCCTTCCTGCATCTACAGCGGGAACCACCAGCTTAGATGGAGCAAGAAAATGTCACACACAACAAGAATACTCCACCCTCCTGCGAGCTGTGCTGAGCTGAGCAAGAAGAGGATACAAATCCCCCAGAGATCTTCAGCTCAGCCTTCATCAGCTATTGTACAGTAAGCTCAAAAGGAGATTTTGCAAAGAACTACTCCAGTTGTGCATCATAAATAGTAAAGGAAACAAACTTGAGCACCTTTTAGCATGGTATTGCCCAAATTCAGATTCCAGAGCCTCAACTTTGGAAATTTTAGTGCTTGATGGAAAATCCAAAACAAAGCCTGGTTTAAAAAAATTTATTTTACAAAAAATAAAAACTAGTATTTACAAGCATTTTAAATACCAGCTCTAAACCTCAACTCATAACAATGGATTAAGACTTTTTAAAATGCCAGTCTTAAGAATTTTAAGTGTGACATGTCCAAAAGGGATTTTTTTTTTTTTAAGAAATGTCATTACAGAGCTATTGAAAAAAAAGGACTACAGAATAGCTCATTTTTTAAAAAGTCAGAATCCCAAGTTCTTCCATTCTCTAACTGCTTTTCAGGTGTGTATAATGAAAAGAACCAGTTGTTTTATCTGTTAAGCAAACTGTAAAATCAGGGGCTGGAGAAGCAGGGGAGAGAAGAGGAGCAAATACTTATCCATCTGCTGTGCTAGTTGTGTTGCAAGGAGAAGAAGAAAATTTGTAGGGTAAGTTGAAGAAAACTGAAGTCAGAGTATTGGTCCAATCCCCTGTCAAAGGTAAACTTTTGGGCCTCTGAATCTGTTTCCAGAACAGCTCCTTAATACCCGTAAGAACAAAGCTGAGGCTCAGTGTGGCTCAAACCTGTAACATACAGAGTTAGAAACTAAGGAGTGCTGATCAAATCAGCTCCATTAATATCCATTCCTCACGGTTGTTAAAGCAAATCTCTGAATATTTTTAGCTGCAAGGATCATTTTTAATGTCATCCACTCCCAAACCTCTGCAGTGATCAAAGGGAGCAATTTTCACAGACTACACAAAGATAAAATTAGCAAAACATGAGGTGAAGCTGTCACCCTCACACCATGCAGAAGTTTTAAAATAAGCTTTATAAAGCACAAATTGCAAATTTGTGTGCATGTCTGTGTCCATTGTCACTGGATTTCCAGACCTTTAGCTCTACCGAATATTCTATCATTAAATCTTCCTTGCAGATTCTGTACAGTATAAAGAGAAAAAAAAAAACAGAGGTATACACAGTAGATTCTGTCCTTTGCCCTTGGTATTAAAAATATGGCAAACCACAAATGCTGGTATTAGGAATTCAGTCAGCTCTTCTGGGTTTCAAATGAAGATGCAGCTCTTCAGCAACACTGCAGGCCTTGTGCAGCCTGTGGACTGGAGATGCCTTTTGTTTGAGACACTATTAGGGAAAATGGTTGAGGACAGTAGCTGCCAATGTGGTAAACATGTTCTGCTGAGGGGCACCGCTCATCACGGCTGCATGTTGTTGATAATGGCCAAAATGCTCATTTTCTCTTGGGCTGAGTCCACATCTTCATTTTGTTTCTGAGCCACCCCCGTGCCAAGGCCGTACAGTCGCCCACAATACTTTGCATCGTCAATTGTATCCTCAAAAAACAACTGCAGATTTGGAAAAAAAAAAAAAAAACAAACACCAAACACAAAATAAAAAAACAGGGAAGAGAAACAGATTGTGCCTCTATATAAGAAAGCATCCAATGCTAATTAAACAGCTCATTTGAAATCAGCCACCTCTAAGATGCAGCGTGCAAATTAAAATAAGCACATTAAAGAGGAGTAACCAGAACAAGTCTGTGCCAATATCAACAACTCCCATTACTGACAGATGGAAGTGTGATGGCTCAAAAAGATCCAAAACAAAACAAACAACACACTGTACATGTTGACATTTATGGACAGAAACAGGACAAAGGAGGACACTGCAATACCTCTTTCATTCTGAAGAATGCCATTCCTGTGAGAAGAGAGTCTGATCCTGCCTGGTGTTGTCGTCCAATTCGCTGCAAATCCAGCTGATCTGCCACTTCCTGAAGGCCACCCTGCAAAGAGAACAGAACAGGTTTTATTTCAGAAGATCCATCTCTTGCCAAAATTGCCACACTTCTCCAAAACACGAGGACAAACACTGAATATGATGAATCAATGCAGATTCCAGCAGTACACACACACCAGCTGTGAGTGAAACACTGGCAAATACTGTTCAAGAGTGCATAAATAACTCTACTCAAATTTAGGTGCCTTCCTTTCGTGCTGCAGATACTTGAGATGACTGTGGGTACATTCATAGGTTACACATGCTGGACCTTTCCCTCCCTTTACTCAAACAAGGCTGTGATTCAGTAGATAAACTACTTTCAACCCTCTCAGTGTCTACTAATTGATTAACTAATGAAGTCATGGAGTGGTTCATGTAAAAGAAATACCCCTGCATAGGAAAGATAAGCATGCTGAATTATAATTAGCCTCTGATACATAAACCGGAAGGGAATTCCCCATTCTGGGAATGTCTCCTTTATAATAAACATACTGATAAGTCTCATATGGGGGGGCAGTATCCATTAGATACAAACTGTGTCACAGGTGCTTCTGTGTCACCACTGGCTTTTACACAAGTTCCAGTTTTAAGACAAGATAAGCAGCAGTTCTGTCACTCGGCTTCCTGTACATTTACAGTGTTGATGTTCATCACTTGCTTGCTGGGGAGACCCAACTTACCTTGAGGTTTTTGCAGCTTTTCATTAAGTACTTCACATCATAGATAGATGGGAAGAAAAGGTTCAAGATATGGAAAAATTCATGTTCCTCTTCTGGTAACCTGGAATCTGTCAACAACTTCACCATGTAGCCAAAATCATAACCACTGAAAAAAACCCCATACAGAAACCAGATAAGGAGGCAGCACCTGTAACTCAGTCCGTACCAGTATCTCATTATTCAACAGAATTTTACTCGCTCCACCTTTCAAGCCTTAACATTTTCTGACATTCATAAAAGTTCTCTGGATCAGAGCCAGAACTCATCCTGACTTTCATGTCAATGTAGGACTTTGGAATCCTCCTCAAGTGACTCCCCTTGTGAAACAGCTAAGCCATTGGGAAGAACATACATTTCTTCCCAACACTGTATATTTGTGTAGCTATGGACAATACAGACAAGCAGGAAACCCTGCAAGTATCTGTTGAGAGAGGAGGAGGTGGTGGCAGGTCCTTTCACTTGTGATGGCATCAGAGACCAGAGGCTTTGCAATCAAGTTGGTTGAAATGCTACAGGAAACACATCTTAACCACACGGATTTCTTGTTCCATGTAAACACAAGATGGAAGTTTGGAGCACCACCACTAATATGGTAAGGAAAAAGAAATAAAATCCTTACTTTACAATGCATTTACTAAAGTGTAGAAATCACATTTTAAATTGTTCCTAACTTCTTCCATTGAGGAAGACTGTAACAGCACATGGATTTGCAAGCAACACATACACAAAATTCAGACCATGAAGTGTCAAGTGTCCTTACTTCTCAAACTGGGCCTTCGTATCTTATTTTAAGAACTGCAGGGCTGCTAATTTTCCTCCTTAAAATCTGGGTCAGTCTCCATGGAAAAAAGCAGAGAATCGAGAAGAGATTTGACAGGGTCAGCGACCATCTCAGACCCACCTGTGGAAGGAGAGCCATTTCACACTGTCACTGAGGACAACCCCAGATGTCATCAGCAACTCAGCAAAATGCAGGGTATCAATCCCTTCTTCTTCGTGCTTCTGGAACTGCAGCCCAGAGCTGGCAAGGAGGTCTATGGAATCCTGAGAGTACATGTCCTCCCTGGAGACAAAAAAGCAGGTTTGAACTTAAGGTGCTGCCAAGAGAAGTTCATTTCAGAAAAACTGTCTGCACACTGTATTTCAAGAATTGGACTGACCAGTAAGAGACCTCTGGGTTCCACATTTAGAAAATTCAAACTGACTCAGTTTTAATATCACTACCACAGCCTCCTACATCTGTAACAACCTGTTCTACGATCGTAACTGGTTAATAATTCTGTTGCTAGTGCAAATTCCAAAGATTCCAACTCCACAGAACCGAAACGGAGTTTTGAAAAATGCCACTTCTGCAAGGCAAAGGGAAGCACCAGAGAGGAGCACCCAGAGAAAAGGGGAGTTCTTCCAAAGAGGAAGATGTGCAGCTCTAAAGCACTGAGCGTCATTCCTGTCCACATTTTTTCCTTTTCACTTCACAGCATGTACCACCTTATCATCACCTCCCCTTCCACCTCTGGGAGTAAACAGAATTGCATCATCCTTGACTCAGGAAGGAGGACAGGGATGAGTGATGACGTGCTTGGTAGAGAGCTGAGGAGGAACCTGACTTCTTTACTGGTTTGCTTCATTTGAGGGGGAGGAAAGGACATGTCAACACACAGATCAAAGCTCCTCTCAATATGATTACTCAGTCAAATGAAGTGATCACACTGTCAAAACCCCTTCACTCTGATTTCAATACTTCTAAGAGGCTCACAGGTTTGTGGAGTAAACAGTACAACTTCTGGGTTCGAGAACTGTATGCCCTGCACAAAGTAACTAATGCTTTCCAACGACAGCTTCATAAAAATACTGATTGATTTCCTATAAATCTGTGGTTTTGCCAGATAAACCTTTCTTTATTTCCAGACAGCTCTAGTGGTAATTATGCTGAGTTTGTCTTTATAATTACAGGGGAAGGGATAATGAAACTTGTTTCAGCTGCAACCCAGGATATTGCAGGATGGAGGAGACAAGAACTGCCACGCTTCATTTAACAATATTCATTCTCCTGAAGAAGTGTGATGATTACACCAACATGTTTTTAGATCCCAGTTTATATTTTAGCATGGATCTGTAAGGTCTTTTCCTTTATGATGGAAACAGCACATCCATTTATTTCTAGCAGAAAGACATTGGTTTTATATATATAGATATAAAATACATGAAGTTTCAGACTATAACGTTGTTCCAGAATAAAAGACACATAAAATTATCATGAGAAAGGGTTATTAAGGATTTTAGCGTGGCTTTGACTTCCAGAAACATTGTTAACTCCTGGCACTCCAAAATAGGTTCCCCCATAATCTGCATTAGAATCTGAATTCCTACTGCTGGGAACCAGCCAGTGATGATGAGAACACGGACACCAGAATTTACCAAAGGAAAACATCTCCACAGCAGAAGAGAACAGGAAATTATTCCCCGGCTCAAAAGACTCACGTGAGGTTGAATTTGAAGTTAAACTGCCAGGTGTTGATGCCAGAAGGATATTCCCCCTTCTCATTTGTGAAAGTGAGGCCCAGCTGGATAATTTTCAGCAGGTCGACGTTACACCGCAGGAGCTGGTACTGGTAGTCTATGGAACTGCGGAATTCCCCGATCGGCCTCACAACAACTCCAGGAAACTCTGTGTCCTAGGACAGAAGGGGAAATTTTGTTTCATCATGTTCTCTGTCATAGAAATCACTGTTATCCCTCTATTAAGAGTTTATTTGGTTCCACACTTGCAGGTCTCAGCACTGTATTCTGAGAGTTGTTCTGTAAAAATCAGCGCTTTTTTTTCCCTTCCTTTTCCATATTCATACAGCTTTTAAACTGCTACAAGTCAGACACCAAAAAAACCCCACACAATTAATAAACTATTGCATTCATTAATTTACCACACATATGCCTTCTTACATTTTTGCTTTATTCCAAATCAAAAATGTTGCAAAGCCCTCCAACATGCATTATTGTACAACCTAAACATCTCTCTCTCTTGCAACGGACTCCCTCATTTTCCCTAAATCTACTACAATGGAACAGTTTTTATTTATTCAGTGATCTTTCACGTTCTAAATACAAGTTAGATTTAGCACTGTGACCATCTTCACTTGATAGCCCAGCCAGCGAAACCCTTCACTGTTTCTGAGAAACAGCCAATGCCTACATTGACAAAAATTACTATCAATCAAAGTAGGCCTCAACAACAGCAACCATCTATTCGATGAAAAACATTTTACTTGGCCAGTGACTGTGTGCTACCTTTGCTGACACCCAAACTGCCACTCTATTTTTACCCTCAGATTAGGTCACGTAGCTTCTACTGACTATATGCAAAATCTTCCACAACGAACCCAGTGCTGTGCATCTGACAGAATCTCTCCTTTGCTCAAGATGGTTTTGTGTCCAGTCTGACAGCACAACCACTGAAACAGGCCCTGACCATGCTTTCAATGAGATGAAAAAGATGCAAAAAAGCTCATTTCCCACTGACACATGATAACAAGAAATCATATTCCCTTCCACAACTGCGATTGACATGGAAATCCTGCACGCTCTGCAAGGGCACTTGTCTTTGTGCCAGACTTTTATTAAGGACTTTTCCTATCTTGAGGTTTAGTGTTCCTAAGCAAAGTTGGCAGAACTTGCAGTATCAAAGCTAAAACCAGTTCTTTATGTAACTCACTGGGTGCTGCCAAGCAGATACAGACTTGGAAGAGCAGGAGGAGATTCTGGTCTTCTTAAACAAAGCTTTCTGAACACACTGTCTTATCTACAGCCAGAATATTTTTCTTCCCTAAGAATCAACATCTGCCCTCATTAAAAAGGAGCTGGAGGCAGCCCAGCTGACTGGATGTCAGGCCTTTTGACCTACAGTCCCATGGCATCTTCTACAGCCAAACAGAGACATTCAAAGGACAAATACACCAGTGGAAAAATGGGGATTTAAACACAATTGTGACCTGTTTCATTTTTGTGTTGTACAAACTAATACACTATGAATAGCTAAATGTTAAGTTAATTCGTGTTTTTAAGTCAGTCTCCATCTTCCCCTTTTTTCACTCAATCCATACTCAACACTGCTTGTATTAAGTCCTGGAAAGCTACTCAACATCTTTTTAATTTTTCACCTCTTCTATCTCAGCTTGACTAGGGGTAGGGAGAAATCATTTCTCACTCGAGAATCAACTTATTTCCCATACCCAAAAAAAACCCTTGACTAAGGCAATGAGGTCAAGTATAAAACACTTACCATGGCGATGTAGCTGTAACTCAGAACGATCTCCCGAATTTTCCTCATCTCTTCCTCCAGGTTGTTGGCCCATACTTCACAGATAACCTGGCTGTTCTCTGCAAGAGCTGCTGGCATCTTGCAGCAGAGGAAAAGCAGCTGATGCTGAATTCAGACGACAGTGTAGGATCACAAGCTGTGCAATCTTATCAGTGAGCTGCATTAAAGAGACACATAAATAATGCTTTAAGTGAAGAGTCACATGTGAATAAATGCTCTGCAGCAGTCAGTCACACTTCCATTTCCAGCTTCAAACAACCCATTTAAACTTTACGTCAAGTTTTTTCTTGCTTTTATCACTTTCTGTAAATATGCTGATTGAAATCTGGAGCACCTGTTCAGGTCACAAGAGCGGATGCACAATTAACAGTACAGTTATTCATGCAAAGAACCATTACCCCATCTTCCTCCTTCGCCTGGCATAAGCTCTGAAACTTTGGACACAAGAGGTACAGCAGGAAATCCTCATGTTTAACCCTCAGCTACTGCCCCAGCCCTGCAAGTGTTCAGGGCCATGCTGGATGGAGCAACCTGGTCCAGAGGAAGGTGTCCCTGCCCACGGCAGGGGTGGAATGGGATGATCTTTAAGTTCCCTTCGAACTCAACCCACTCTGTGATTTTGTGATGAAGAGCTTTTGAACACTCATCAACACCAGTGGGGATGTCAAGAGGCTGGAGCCCAACAACAGGACAAGAGACAACAGGCACAAAGTGATGCACGGGAAGCTCCACCTGAGCTGCGGAAGAACCTCTTCCCTGTGCAGTGACCGAGCAGTGGAACGCATAGCCCAGAGAGGCTGTGGAGTCTCCCCTCCCTGGGGATATTCCAGAACCGTCCGGACAGCAACCCTGTGGAACGCGCTCTGGGACGGCCCTGCCGGAGCTGGGGGCGTTGGACCAGCAAGCGCTCCCTCCCAGCGCGACCCCACCCCGCGATGCTCCGATTCCCCTGATGTAAAAAAAAACTCGCAGGACGCGCTGCAGGGCGGTATTCCCAGCTCACACATTCCAGCCGACACCGGCAGCGCCAGCAATCCCCCTCCCACCGCGGGCTGCGACACAGACCCTCCTCAGGGGATCCCGCCCAGCCCCTGAGCCACCGGGAGGCACCGAGCGCGGCGTCACAGCCCGGGGCAGGGGGGTGTCCCCTCAGGGCCTGCAGGCCTCGGAATGCTCGCTAGGACTGCTGGGACTGCGGGTCCCCGCAGTCCCGGCGGTACCTGCAGCCCGGAGCAGTCCCGGAGGTGCCCGCAGTGCCCTCAGTACCTGCAATCCCGGCACAGCCCGCTCCGTCTCCCCGGCACAGCCGCGATGGCTCCGAGTCCTCCCCGCCTACCGCGGGGGGGGTGTGGGGTGGGGTGGGCGGCGCTACCGGGTCTCGCGGCTCTTCCTCTCGCGGCGGGGCGAGGGCGGAGAGGGGAAACGTTTCCCCTCCCTTCTCCTTCACCCTCCCCGCCCCCCCCGCAGTGCCGCGAATGGGCTCGCCCGGGCTCCCCGGCGCTTCGCGCGGGGGGCGCGTCCAAAGCCCGCGGGGGGGGGGAAGAGAGGGATGAGGAGGGAGGGAAGCTGCTCCCTGAGGGAAGAGGCGCCATCGCGCCCGGCGGCGGCCAGATGGGCTCCCAGCATGGGGAGCCCCAGCGCCCCGACCCCTCGGGACACGGGCTGCGCCGCCGGGCCTTGGCGGAGCGTCCTCGGAAGGAGCGGCGGCCACCCCTCCCTCACCGCAGGGGAGGTGAGGGGGGGGTCCCCCCGGGTCGGGGCCAGGCCCGAGGGCGCGCAGGGTGGCGGAGCGGGATGAGGGTTTATTTATTTTCCAAGGCCCAGAGTGCGAACCACCATGAGGGTTTATTTTCCAAGGCCCCAGAGTGCGAACCACCGCTCTCCCGGCATGTATCGCCCCTGCAGTGCAGTGCGTATCGGGCTCCTTAGTTGAGGATGTTCCGCTGCTTCCTGCAGGAGGGCAGGAGTCTTAACAAGTCCCTGCTACACCTGCAGACTTTTAGCGTGGCTTCTGCTGTTCCGGGAACGGAATTTCAATTACGTTAGCAACAGAAGGTTCTATCTGGTGAGACAGCATAAGCGAACTGCTTGCGGAACGCGGCCGCCAACACTGCTTTGCTGGCTGATGCTGATGGCAGAGAGGCAATTTACATGGAAGCTTGTCTGCTGCCTAGAGTGCCTGCCTTCTGGACAGAAGGCATCTGCATCTGTTATAAAATACATATGTATAGCTCAGTGTCTCAGTTTTAATGTTCATGCCTCAGCAGAAATGTAACATTTGGAAAAGAAGAGGGTTTTTCGAGTGCTGCTCTCTGTCGAGTGACCTTGCTGCTGTCAGCATCTTATTTCATGTTATTTTGATTCGAAGTTTATCTTCATAGATGATGGTTACCATTTTGCCTTAGCTCTGCAGTCTCTGGCATTGTGTATCTTATCTGTTATGCAATATGCTATATTGGCAGAAAGTAATCACTTTTCTACCCATGGTCATTTGAGTTTGGTGTTTCATGCTAGAAAACACGTTGTTAGCAGGTAAATTCACGGGGTTGGATTACAGCACTCTGTAAGTAGAATTTTTTTATTTCCCTAAAGAGTTCGGAGTTAAATACACATATATTTTTTTCTTGCTCATAAACCCAGCACTTGAAGGTATGTTGAATCCAGGGGAAAAGGGAGGGTACATCTCCTCAGGACTCTGTAAATATCTGTGCCTTGGTACTCTCACAAAAATGTTTTGCAGGCAATAATCACCTGTGAGAAATTACACTTGTAGTGTTTAAAAATTCCCATGTGAAAAAAGGCTGTTCAAGGAGGTCTGCAAGCCCTGGTGGGGAGAGCTGGAGACGTATTTTGCTGATGGAGATCAGAATTTGTTTTTCCAAGCATGGCTGATTTTGATGATGGCTCATAAAGATGAAGAATAGCTGGAAAAGGCTATTTAAACCTTCCTGTTTAAAAAAGTCCCATGGTTTTTTGTGCTTGGAAGTTACCAAGCTCCAAATCCAGCACTCCAAGGAGTCCTTGCACCCTCTCTATGGTTCTGTTGAGGCCAAAGTAAAAAAAAAAAAAAGTTTGTGTGTAGAGCTACATTTTAAAGTGGAATAAAGGGCTTTAGCTCAACATTTTCACGTTGGGCAGAGGAGCTATCGGAGTGGGCTTGTACAAGCCTAAAAGGTACTTCAGGGATTTTCTCCTGATATTCTTTTCAAACAGTGAAACAACCAGTGACTTTTAAAAAAAACTGTGGAGAGTGATCAAAGTACTGAGTCTCTAATCAAAAAGCTTTTCTGCTGAGAAGAAATCAGACTTCTTGCATTCCTCGGGAAAGATTGCACCAGCCTTGGAGTGTCCGTGGTGGAGACACCAGTACAGGGCACAGGGCAGCCAACAGAGAAGCAGCTGATTAGTGACATGTGCTAGACACATGTTGCAGCAGAAGGTTAATGACCTTTACATCCCTGTGATGTAATGTCGTGAGCTGTCACATCCCTGATGTGCTGAGCTGTCTGTTCCTATGGGTATGAATATTTCAGAGATCACCCATGTTGGAATTGAGCAGTGGTTACAGAGGAACACCAAGGTCTTTGAAATTCATTGTTTTATCAGCTGCTTTTGGCTGTTGGATGAACAGCCCTCCCACTGCAATGTCGAGTCCAAACAAAGATCAGCTCAGGACATCATCCATGTGGCATCCCCCTCTTGAAATGCCCATTTCCACTTCCTCCTCTGCACGTGAGCACATAGTTTGGAGGAATCACATTCCTCCCTGTTGAGTCTGCTGTCTGTGATAAATAACAATTAGTAGCAGTAGCTAAGAATTACAGATTGCTACTACGGAACGATTGGAATTAGTCAAGAGAAAGTGTCAACAGCAACAGTAACCCTGTTAAATTCTAATCACGCTTGCAGCTCTCTTTGCAGCTCCAGCTCTGCTGGTGTGAGAGGTTGCCTCACCTGAGAATGGCCATTCAAGGTTAACTGTGAGGTAGAGGTGTTTTTCCTCATGTAGAAAAATAAGTCTGGAAAGTTTTGATAGGAACACTCAGTTCTCAGAGCTTAGTTTGTAATAAGTCGCTGTATATTGGGTAAGTAACAGATTGGGGCCACATTTGCATAATAAAGACCAATACTACTGTAAATTACATCTTGCTGTCTGCAATACCATAATTACAGACTTTATGGTCTGTAAACATCATATTCAAAGGCAACTAAGCCCAAGCACGTGGTAACCTATATGCATCTTCTTCCTCATGGAACCAATGCCTGTGACTGGTTGAGGACACTGTAACAACAGCGTTGGTGTAATTTATAGACTTAGTACAGCAGAATGAAAACTGGACTGCTGTTCTTTTGCCTAATTCCAGAGTAACCCTTATTGCTTTTAACAAATACACCTTTGACCCCTTCAGTTGTACTCACTCTAGCTATTTTGTGCTCAAAACATGAGTTACTGAATTATAAAAACTACTTATCCTTAGGGCGTCGGTGGCTCTTTCATTCTCAGGTACTGTGATGAACTCTTGATGAAAAATTCTTACCTGCAGAGATGTCTTGCACATGCTTAACTGAGTAACAGCACATAGGCACGGGGAACACTGCCAGCGCTAACAGTGACATGGCACTGGCTGCACATGACTTGTCTGGGAGGGGACAGCCAGCTCTGCTTGGAAACACACCCCCATTGCCTTTGCCTAAACCCTCATAAAGTTTCCACAGCAGTAGTGAAAGGTGAGGAGTTGAACTCTGGGCTCTGAATAGACACAAAGGACCTCTCCTAGGCTACCATCAGCAGGAGGTGAGCAAAGCATGGGCAGCCAGAGTTCAAGGGTGTAGTGGCTTTAAAAGATATGATAGAAACTTTGAGGAAGTCATTAAAAGGCAGTGTCGTGTGTCCGTGTGAAGTCCATTGTAAGCTTTTCTAGGAACGGTGGTTGCCCTCAGATCCGTGCAGGGCTTGGTAGGACATCAAACACCACGTCTACTCCTTCGTCTGTCCACAGAGCTGCGTGGATATGCAACTGCTCAGGTGACCAGGTGAGTGGTCCTCTGTTTTTGTTTGTGTTCTGTACTTTCATGGATAGTTGCAGCCTTTTTTCCCCCAGGAGCAATTTTCCACTGTGTGTGCACTATAAAGGTTGATTCCAGGGAATTAAGGTCTACAACAGAAGGTTTAAGCAGGAAGGCAGAAGGAACACTGAGGTGGGCAGACAGTCCATCACAGCAGATGTGCCTGTTACTCAGCTGCACCCCCTGTGCAGGACTGTCTGGGTGCTGTCAGAAGGGTGCAGTGCAATGGGCACAGGGCAGGGGCCATGGCACCTCTGGTGCCTCAGCTTGGGGCTCTCTGGGCACCAGAAATGTGAGGGGACAGCAGAGATGGGGCATAAATAATGATGCATGTGTTAGAACAAATGTACAAAATATGGCAGTTCTTTCCTTTTCAGATTATACTGAGCATTGTAAAACATGGCTTAGAAAAACTAACCTTTTCTGGTACCTGAAGTGGAAAATTCACTGAAAACAGATCTTTGACTTAATGAACACTTGTTAGACAAATGAAGTTATACGTGGAAATATTAATTTAGAAAATGTATTAGAATACTTTTTTTGACTAGTGTATGTTTCCCCTTTGATGTCAAGAGACTGACTGGAAAATCAGTTACTCTTACTTTAAGGTTGAGAATTTGACCTGGATCAAATTTTGTGTTAACTAATTTGAAATAACTGAAAAGGAACTCCTTCTTTTCTTACACAGCTCTAGTTCTAGCTGATATTTGGAAATAGCTGCAGGCAGCTGAGAGCTTCACTGGTTGATTCGGGGCTGTAAAACATGCCAACATGAGAGCAGTGCCAAGCAGTTGAATGGCTTTTTTGTTTGCTGAAACAGCCATGGTTACATGAATGGTTTTTTAATGTATTTGGTGTATTTTGAATCAGGAGAGACATTATCCAACACTAAAAAGAGTAGGTAATTAGGTGTTGGGGAAAACCTCATCCATCCAAATTTATCTTGGTTTAATGTAAATAATGTAAAGGTTTTTTCCTGAAATGTGGCTTAATAGAGGTTACATATTGCATTTTACACATTAATAAGTGTTGCATATTACTGTTTTCAGCTCCCTACTGGGTGGTTGTAAAGCTAGGGATGTGTACACTTGGCCAAAGGGCAAATAATAGGAGTTATAACAAGGAAAATTCTGGGGAAAAAAATCACAGTGAAGGTTGTCAAATGCTGCAACAGATTTTGTGGAGAAGCTGTGGAATCTCCCTCCCTGCAGACACTCAACTCTTGAAAGCTCTGGACAACCTGTTAAGAAAGCTGGAATGGAGCAAAGCCTCGAAAATGAATGGATTATTGACGTCTGACATATTTCAAGCATTAGTAGTGTTTTCTTGGAGGCAGTGGGCACACCTGCCCTGAGAGGACCTCTGTGACAAGATGGGCATGTAGTGCATGTCATGTAACAGCTGTGATCAGAAGGTCTTGTAAAAACTATAATCAGATCAATTTAGCCTGTGGCAAGGATTATTCACGCTGATGTGTTCAGGCCAGCAGGTTATTTATGATTGTTTCTTACGGGTATTCCTCACCAACTGTCTCAGAGTCCAACTATATTTTATCAGTAAAATTGTGGTTGGCAAACAGCATAGCAGAGGAGAAGAGGATTGGCTCTGGCAGCTCACAGAGTCCAGTAGTGAGGAGCTCTAGGTCTGGGGAAAGACAAGAAGCCCGGGACACTGTGATCTCCTTAACACATTCTCATTTTAAGCAATAGCACCTTAGGGCACTTCTCACACCGCCTTTTTTGGCCAAGGGAGACAAAGTGAACTTGGGTTTGGGGTTTCTTTAAGACTGCTACCAAAAGTTAGCATTTCCCATAGGAGTACGTCCAACCCTGGTGTTGAAATAGGGGGTTGGGAGTTGAGCTCACGGTTTCCAGTTTCAGAACTGTTTAACATTAGTTTCTTCCACTGAAGTGTGTGGTGGGCTGTTCTTGTCCTTTTCTGTCCCTGAGTAAGCAGGAAGAAGGTGTCTAATTTTTCTATCTCGTGCCCTTTAACCTGCATACTGATATGTAATGTAGAGAAACAGAGCTGGAAACACCTGTAAATAAACAGAGTTGTATTTGTAAGAACTTGGAAGGCTATAATTTCAAAGGTAAACTAAAACCTCCTGGCTAATAAGGGATTTCTTTTTGGCAGTTTATTCCTCCTTTCTGAATCGCTGCAAGAAGAGTACTCCTAAGAGGCTTCCCCCCGTCATAAAGGTAATAGAATATCATCTTCCTAATGAGTAATTTTCCAGGTGTTTGTACCTTAGACAGGTGCCTTTAAACCTTCTCTGTGCTCTCCTGTGTACCTTAGGTAACACATTTTGCCTGTGCTTGAATATTCTGCTGAGTATGAAAAGCAAAATGGATTAAATTCCACAATCCTCAGTAATCTGGCTGTTGTATTATTAGAACTTGTGTGTTTGTTCTTAAAGATCATGTGAAACCAAGAAAACATTAAGGAATGTTTTGTTAACTTTTGCTAATATTTGATGATAAGAGCATAGCAAGATAAAAACAGCTACACAATAATCCCTAGGACAGCCAGAACATAACCTGACATAGAGAACCCTTCATAGTGAAGGCCCAGCAGCTACTTAAACCTTGGGTCTGATTTATTTTTTGTGTTTTTTTAACACAATAATTAACAAATGGTCAAGGCAGAGCCAGATGCAAGGAGATTTATTATGAGGTGGCCACATGTCCATTTAGGACTTTAACCCTCTAACTGACTGTTACAGGACTTGAAGCAAAGATGATTTTCTCACTTTCCATGTTCTTAGGCTATAACTTACAGTTTCTCTGCCACGTGAGTGAAGGCTGTGTGGAGCTCTACTGTGTTAATCCTTTGTGGCACAAACTCACTTTGTTGTTTTAGAATTTTTTTTTTTTTTTCATTCCTGTTAGTTTAACTGCATGTTGTTGTTAGGAAAGAAGACATCCCACATCATCATTTCTTCACAGCCTGAGAAGGGCTGGAGCTGCTGTTGGGTGCAGTGTGTTCCTGGATCAGATCAAGGGAGGCAGCTGTGCCACAACACACCAGTGCCACCAGCAAAGAGCTTTGGGTTTGGCTATTCTCCCACATTTCTGTGTTATCCTTGCATCCCTGTCAGTCTTCTGGGACACTTCTAACTCATCAAGAAATAAGGGCATTTTTCTTCTCAAGAGCTCAGCTTTGCTCGATGGCCAACATGAAGGATGGAGCAGGACGGGACAGGGAACACAGAGTAAATATTTTCCACTTTTGCAACTGACTGCAGATTGAGGGGATTTGCTGTTTTCACTCTCCAGCTGTCCAAGGTTCACTTACTTAGATCACCTTTTATTTCAGATGGAAAGAGACTCTGGATATTCCACCATGGCTGAGCAGCAGAAGCAGGTAAAGGGTCAAGGTCATCTTTTAAGGGAAGAATTATCCAGTGCTTTGGAAGGCTGGATGTGTTGAATCATCTTCTAAGAGAACTGACAGACACATCCGCGTTCCGATCACTTTAGTACAATTAGGAGCTCATCTCTTATCACTGCAGCAGCATTTCCCCTGCATTTTTCCCTTCCAGTGGACTGCAGCTACAGCAGCAAGTGAGGAAGGGCCTGTTATCTTTGTTTGTGTGGCAAGAACCCAAAACAGTCCCCATAACCAGAAGCTGGACCACCTCACTGGGCCCAGCCCCAGCCCCAGCCTCTTCACCTTGCCAGCAGCAACCCTGTTCTGCACTTAAGGCATTTGCCAACTTCTATAAGCCCTTTAAGGGCAAGAACTCAAGCAATCCATGAAATAGTTAGGAAACTACTGTGCTGGAGCTGTTGGCATGAAGAGAAACAGGGTGTTAAGTACTTGGACTTGATGAACAAGATTTTTATATATATATATATATATGTAAACTTCTCTGCTTCTACAGCTCATGTAATTACACTGTGTGGGATTTGTTCATGTAATCATCACATGCAATAAAAGCACAGCCCCAAAATAAAACAGTTTCTAGCCAAAGGGGTTTTAAAATAGCTGAGGTTCTGAGCTTTAGCTGCTCTCTATCCTGTCTCAAGGCAAGACTTGCACAGTGTCTGGTGAGTACTAGGAGTTACTAATTTTTGAAACTCTTTTGAGTTCTTCAGCTGGAGGATGCTAGAGCATCTGAAATCTTATTTGGTCTAACTAAAAATTTTGACATTTGTAAGACATCAGAATTTTTGTTTAGTATGTTCTTTCTTCATCCCAGGAGAAAAAGCACTTATAAGTTACAAGTCTGTTAAAAAGCTCAAAGCTTTTTATAGCTTTTATAACCTCTTTTTTTTTAAGAATATGTGGGTGATGTTCCAGGGTCTAAAGATTAAGAAAGTCTTACTTCAGCATAAGATGGAGGCAGCTGGAAGTATGAAATTGCTAAGAGAGCAGATCTCCAGCCCAGGATCCAGCAGGCACCATCTGAAGCTGGAGTTGAGACTTTTGCCAACCTGGCCAGTTCAGTACACCCAGTGATAACGCTGGCAGCTGATTGCATTGCTCTAATATAAACCTATAAGGTTCACAAACATCAAGCTGTAGGGCAAGAGTCCTGCCAATTAATTCCTCCCCAGTTGCTCACTCAATTAAAAAAAAAAAAAAAAAAAAAAAGGTGATAGGAGGAAATGGTTGGTTGGTTGTTTTAATAAGGAATAATTCAGTGCTAGTGAGCAAAGTTCTGTCCTCGGACAGATAAATATTGCTGACAAGTCCTGGGTCACATTTAATGTTCTGTAGCTGTTACAGAATCTGAAAGCCACGTCAAGAGGATTTCTCTATATTGCATTATCCTAAACCACCTGCATTCACTGTTTCTCAGTGAGCTGCCTCTCTTGTTTGTCCTCTCTGACAGGAGACGATCAGGACAGCAACTATGAATCATTCTGTTTCTACTCCAGTCTGTTTGCACAGCACAACACCACAGTTAAAAAACAGGAAGGACAGAGGAATGAAGAAGACAATAGCTGGTTATTATATAATATTATTTTAAAATTGCATTGATTTTTATAAAAAATTCATATTCCCTCAGGAAAACCCAAACTATGATTGCTGAACTCCAGAACCAATTCCAACGTGGGCCACTCTAAAAGACAGATCATTAATTACAGATTTGTCATCTATTTGCTAAACAACTTGGGTTTGAATATTTAAATATCCAAATATATTGAATGCTGCATTTTGAATATACTTATTCCTAGAATCAAAAGGTCTCTCACTGGTAATTTTCCGAGTCTTGCAGTTGCTTTGTGCAGTTAAAATCCTTACTGTGATAAAAAGTCCTGCTAACACTAGAGCTGCCCACAGGAATATTTCTTCAGAAGATAACATTTCTGTGACTGAGAGCAGGGATTTATAGAAGTTTGTACTTGTGAGAAGCTGAGTGTTTTAGCTCCCTGTTGATGTGCAGTTGTTCTATACAGATGGCACATAATACCTGCTGGCCAAGTTGTACTCTCAGCACTAGAGCTGAGTTGAACGTGTGATGGCCTAAAGGCACAGCAAAATGAATCATGAAAGGAAAGGTGTTAAAGCTCTGTTATACTTGGGGAAAAAAAGACAAGTTTCTGGACATGTGAGCAGTGGGTTTCACAAAGGGTCTTCAAAGCAAAAAGGAATATTGAGAGGAGAGGTTCTGGATTGACTGGAGCTGTTAACCAGGTCATCTGAGCACAGCAGTTCTTGACTGGTTTGGGTGGGAAGGAGCATGCTGCATCCTGGGAGGGAGAAAATGCTGAAGGAGGGAGGTTGCTGAAGTGGAGCACCACTCCTTACCCCCAGGTGTCCTTTTCCCACAGCTCAGAGTTATCCAGAAGCTCCTTGTATTATAGCCCTCCAGGTAGTGAGCAGCGTGCCAAATAAAAACAGAGAGGGAAAAACCAGTGGTCTTTTCTCTCTCTTTGGTTATTCCAGAGAAATTCCCCATCAGTGACACATCAGGTCTCTGTAAGCATGGCAGATGGATGTGTGTGTACACCCCCCTCAGTTACACACAGTGTCCCATAACAGCTTTGTTACTGTGTTCTTTAGAGTGTGTGTGAGACAAAACAGGCCATCACAGGACTGCCTTTGCCATTGCAAATACCAAAAATGCCAGGGCAGGACTCAGCAGCACGTGCTTTCTCTTGTTGCTTCTGACAGGAAGAGAAGCTCTGGGATGCCTTGAAGATCAGCGCCTACGTCTTCAGTACAGGCCTGCTCATGTTCACTGCCTTAGTGAACTCTGTTTCTTGGTAAGCTTGTTCAAACAAAGTGGCTTGAGGGGAAACTTTTCTGTGGAAAGGGGAAAAAATGGATGACAAAGATGGGCAACCAAGAACTCTTGTTTCTACAGGTTAATGCAGGATATAACTTTAGGCGATTTCTGGCAAACAGCATGGCTGAACGTCTACAACTACTTTGAGGGAGATGAGTGGACAATCTTCCTCTATGGTGAGTTTTAACAACACTCCTCTGTAGGAGAAATCATCCATGTACTGTATGTAAAAGGGGTTCACGGACCTGCCAAACTCACTAATCTCACAGAAAAGCTCTGGCTTGGAAGGCAGAGACAGCTGATGTGGTGCAGCTGTTCAGCCTTTGGATGGGGTCACCTGTACAGACTAAAAATCTGATCTTTTTGCTGCTGCTGAAATGGCTTCCCTGTGAAGATACTTTGCTCCTGTGAGAACTGAATGACTCGGTAGAACTGATTACTAAAAATATAAGTACAATTACTGGATTTTACCCTTGCTGTAGTACTATAAAACTCTTCTCTGTGATTAACAGCTGGTGAACAGAACTTATAGGGACCTTGCAAGGTTCTAGGGATCAACTCAACTTTATACTACTTGTATTTAAAGGAACCCATAACAAAGAGGCCTTTTCTTACCCTCAGTTTTCTCAAGTTTCAACCTATGAGACATTTGTCCTCTCTAACCTCCTCCCCATTCTTTAGGTCTTACCTGGGTGTCAAAACTTGAACCAAATTCCATTTGGAAGCATCTCAGGGCAGGTCTTGGCACATCCGGGTCCCAGCAGGGACGTCCTCTGGATACTATGCCAGTGTATTTTGTTTCTGATATATTCATAGCTCTCAATTCATTCACACATCTCTGCCCTCTCCTCATGCCACAGGGGCTGCATTGGTGCCTGCACTTGCTTTCTGGGGCTTCAATGGAATCCTTATGGTGGCTGATATAACAGGAAAGCCAACTTTCATTACTCGCTATCGCATTCAGCTGGGCAAGAATGATCCTGTAAGTACTTCCCACTCTGCCTCTTCTGCTGGCTAAACACTCCTGCAGTCTCTTAGACCAGGAACGGGGAGAAGAACCTGTTATGCTTTTCTCTTGCAACCAGGTAGGATTCCAGGAGAATCAAGCCAAGTCTTGTATATCCACTCAGGGAGGAAGGCAGATCCTGTAATCAGGTTACTGATCAGATCTGGATTGGCAGCTTGTTAAAAAGCTGTTCCCCAAACTAACTGCCTATAAATCCGAAAGCTTTTTATCCTTCCAACTGAAGCTGCATAATTTCTGACTTTGCCTCAAGTCCCGACCTCTCTTTTGCAGGTGGACACAAAGAAGCTGCGCCAAGCCATCTACACAGCACTGGGTAATCAGTTCTTTATCTCCTTGCCCATGCTTGTGCCCATGTTCCACGTGATGAAATGGTGGGGCAACACCTTCAGCAAGGAATTACCCACTTTCCAGTGGTTTCTTGTGGAGCTAAGCATCTTTGCCATAATAGAGGAAATTCTCTTCTATTACACACACAGGTGAGCTGAGCACAGGAACAGGACTCTGATTCTCCTCCATGCCTTTAAGCTTATCTCTTACAAGAGCAATAATCTTAGTCCCCCTCTTCGATTTATATGGGTCCACCCTTACAACATGAGGCTTTGGTGCCATTACCTAGAGTAAGCAAAGGTGGGTAAAACTGCAAAGGTGGAACAGCTTAGAAGCTAAGGAAGAAACAAAACAGGCAGCTTTGCACAAGAGCTGTGTTCTCTGAAAAGAGTGAGGCTGAGTATGCTGAAAGAAAAAAAGTTCAAAGGTCAGTGACTGATCTCCTGTTCCCTTGTACAGCACCTCTGAAACAGGGCCTGGCTCCCAAAACTGCAGGATTTCTAGAGGACAGAGCTAGAACAAGGGAGACAAAAGCCTACAAAAGCCCATGCAGAAGTGAGCTCAGCACTCTCAGAAATATGTAGGTTTCCCTTCTAGACAAATGCACCAAAAAAGTCAAATCCATTTCTTACAAAGGGCCCATGGAACCAGAAATTCAGACTCTAATGGTTGCCAGTTGGAAAAGTCAAAACAGAGAAGATACCAAGTCTTTCCCTAAGCAGGACTCCCCTATTTGAGCAAATGATTCATTCAGGGACTGATTTATAGGATTTATCTGGACTAAGTTTAACATCAGCCAGTGGACACATCAATTGAGTGAAGGCTCAATACTAAGAGAGAGAGCTTGGGAAGCCAGGAGTCCTACACTCTTATTCCCAGCTCCTCGGAAATCCTTAAGTTAGAAGAGATATGAGCAAGTCTCCCACAGAAATCCTGTGTTCTGTTATTCCATGTTCCTTTCTGCAGAGCTCAAAACCTGCCTTTCTGTGTTTTGTCCTTTCTGTTTGCTCTGCTTAGGCTTGTTCACCACCCCGTCCTGTATAAGCACATCCACAAGAAGCACCATGAGTGGACAGCCCCCATCGGCGTGGTCTCCATTTATGCTCATCCGATAGAACACATAGTAAGTGGATTCTCCCGTAATCACCCTCCAGCTGCTGTGTGGAGTGTGATTTCCATGGGATTAGGAGGAGTGGTAAGAGAGTGGCCAGAGCACCAGCTCTGAGTCTCTCTGTGTGTCACAGGCAGGACACAGTGAAGTGATGCAGATCATCACATCGCCCTGTGTGTCCACAGGCCGTACCCTTTCACAGTGAGGTTTCTCAAGAGCAGCCTCAGTGTTATTCCAACAGTGAAGCCGAAATGCATGACGTCAGACTCCAGGGTGATTTACTGGAATCACGCTGCCCTCACATCCACGTCTAGACATCCATGTCTAACTTCTACTACAAGCTTAGGGAGCTTGGGCTGTGACTGTGGTTTGCAGACAGTAGAACTCTGTTAGCCCTGTAATTATTTTTTTGGATGATTATGTAACTTCATTAAGATGTTCCCAGAGGAATCTTCCCTTTATGCTGTTTGCACAAAACTAATGTGATGCATCACCCAGGTGACAACAGTTCAGCTCCTAGAGCAGGGTCTGCTTGTTGTGGAGCATTACTGAGGTGGTTTGTTCTCCTTTCCAGCTCTCCAACACGCTGCCTGTCATGACTGGCCCGATGGTCATGGGGTCTCACATTGTTTCAATCTCAGCGTGGTTCTCCATCGCTTTCATAACAACAAGCATTTCACACTGTGGATACCACCTGCCCTTCCTGCCATCTCCAGAGTTCCACGACTTCCACCACCTCAAGTACGTCTGGGCACTGCTCAGCTTCCCTCTCCCTCCTGCTGGCACTCCGGCACCGCTGCTGGGCAGAGCTCCTTTCCAAGGGTCAAGCGGGTTTGCACAACTCATCCCCAGGCAGAGCAGCTCTCCAGTTCACCTGCTGAATGCTGCCAGTCCTTACAGCAGTTAAACAGATCAGGATTTCAAGGGACTCTGTCAAGGGCAGTTCTCTGCAAGGCTCTTCCTAGAAGTTTAGAGGACATTGCATGTGATGTAAAGACAGAGCAAGGGCAAGTCACGCAGGTGAAATGAACATGCAGGAAGCCTGTCTGTCTGTTCCTCTCCCATACACTGGGATTAGTAACACTGATCAGATAACACCTTGCCCAGACAATCACAACCCTTCCTGGCAGAGATTCCCAGCCTCCTCCTATGCTGGAGAGAGCAGCTGCAGCAGGTTGTTCAGGGACACATACCTGAGCAGTGGAAGAATTGTTCCCATCTCCCAGGTGTGTACCAGATTCAGACACTTCTCCAAGCCTGCCCCTCCTGCAGATCCAGCCCGCAGATCCAGCCCATGGGACAGTTCACTCGCCACCCAAATGTTGGGCAGCACCAAAAACACAGTGCCAGTTCTTACCTGTTGTTTCCTCTGAATCTCAGCTCCTGTCAGGACACAGATCACTGCAGATCCAAGATGCTCTCTGGGCAGGACAGCTGTGCCAGTGTCCCAGCTCTGTGTCCCACAGCAGTCAGGTCTTGGGAGCAGATGGAATGGTAATAGCAGTGTCCAGCTGCTCCCACAGCTCAGCTGCCTGAGAGAGTCGTGGCTGCTGCTCAGTGCCACCATTTCTGGGTAACAAATGCACCAACGAGGGAGGCTGCATGAGTTTCACCCAGGCTTCAACAGAGCCGCCAGGAGGACTGGTGCAGGGGCAGAAATCACACAGGCAGGTTACAGGCCTCCCAAAGAAAAGGAAATACGAAAGGTGAGGTAACCTCAGTAGCTTTCTAGTGATGTTAATCTTTTGTTTGGTTCCCAGGTTCAACCAGTGCTATGGAGTCCTGGGAGTGCTGGATTACCTGCATGGCACAGACAGAGTGTTCAGACAGACCAAAGCCTTCGAGAGACACAAGGTCCTCCTCGGCCTCACACCACTCTCCGAAAGCATCCCTGAGGTGCCCAAGAAGGCCGAGTGAACCAGCCCAGCAGCTCCTGTGACCAGCAGAGTGAGAGACAATGATTTATGCCAAATAGTATTTTAATTGGGAAACGAGTTATTGTTCACACGTAACGAGACCCGAAATGGAAGTTGAACATGCTACTGGAAATGACTGCACATTTACTACAAAAAGCTCCTGCTCTAGAAATCTATTTTTAAGCAAAATTTAGTGGTTTGTTTCTTAATTACTTGCACTGTCCCTCAGTTCCAGCTGCCTGTGCATGAGCCCAGGTGTGTTCTGGGCCACGTGGCTCTGGGGAGTTCTCACTGAGAATTACTGAGCATTTGGCACCATTTCCACAGGCAGTGCTTTGGCCTCTCTCAGCAGCACTCACTCTATAGAAACACCAGCAAGGTCACTGTAACTACATGTGATAGTATTAAACCCACTATTTTTCTGAGACTCAGAGCACCTGGCACAGTGGATGCAACCCCTTGGAAAAGCAGTGGTGCCACAGCTTTAGAAACTCTCCCCTGCACATGCAGCAGAGACCTGACTCCCCCTGAGCAGTCTCTCCTGGGAGAGGTCAGTCCAGCTCTCAGGTAGGGCTGGCACGGCCTCATCGCTGCTCCACAGACCAGCAGCACATGTGAGCTTCCCCTCATGGGACAGGGAAGGAGCTGGGAGCTGATGTGCTACATGCCATCACCTCCTCCTGCTGAGCCTCATGCCACTCCAGGATAGAACCAAAATTCCACAGTGCTAAATTACGGAGAGTCTTTCCAAGGAAAGCAGAGTCCCTGCTGTCCTGAGCTGCACAGAGATCAGTGAAACACTGTTAAGAAAGGATTCAGCACAGCAGCCCCCAGAGCTTTATGCACATCCCCAAGTACCTACAGACCCACCGAGACATACTGTGAATTTTCTCAATCTTTTTAAGTTTCAATCTTGCCTGGGGGCCTGGGACAAAAATGCCACTTCTCCCCCCAGTGCTAGAGCAGCCCCCTGAGGAGGGGACACGCAGGGCTGACCGGTGCTGCACTCACCTGTGGTCAGCCCAGCTCCACCTGTGGAAGTCAGCTCACTTCCACAGCCCTGCTCTGGTCCCTGCAGCCACACAGGGATGAACCCGGCCTGTTCATCAGCTCCCACCTCCCTGGGGAGGGCAAGTCAGCAGAACAGAAAACCCAGGCTGTGGTGTCTTTTGAAGTTTTTATTTTTATACATTTTTTTTTGTATTAAAAAGGAAAAAGCATAATTACCACAAATTACAAAGGACTAAAGCATTACTAGAATAATGAATCACATCAGCCTAGAAAGCAGATAATCTGAATAATATTAATGTTATAATACAAGCTCTCATTCAAGTATTTTACATTTTTCTCTTTTCCTTTTATACGTGATGATGATCCTAGCACATGGGTCAAAGATTATGTACTATCGACAGAGATGGATCATGTACAGCCGGCCGTATTAACAAGATTTTCCTCCCAAGTGATACATGGTCTGTGATGAGTCATTTTAAGTTTGTCTCTACGATAAATGCAGTTGTAGAAGGTTGCACACACTTTCTAGTTTTGGGAAACAGAAGGCTGAGGTTGGACACATGGGGTTTGAGAAGGGCCAGCACATCGAACCATCACCCCTTCAGCTCCAGGCGAGCGAGCAGGGCTGCACTCGCTGGGGTGCAGCTCAGCAGGGGTTTCTGAGCCACAGATCCAAAGGTTTCCAACCCCAGCGGGACCAGGACAGGCTGGAAGGGGAAGAGGGGGCTGCACCAGGGAGGCTTGAAGGGACCAAGTGGTGCCAAGCCCCCCCGGCGCAGGGCTGACACCTGGGGAGCGAGCAGGGACAGCACGGGGGGCTGGGGGGACCCCGGCACACCCCGCAGGGCCTGCTGGCACCCAGGGCATCCCCGCTCCCCTGGAGCTTCCCACCAAGGGGATGTGCTTGTCACAGATACATCGGTCCTATGTTCAAGTGTCTGCAGAAAGTGAAACTGTAAACTACGCCTGGAAATGCTGCCCTCCAGCCGCCTGCTCCACACCACTGAGAGGAACATCTGCTTAAACAAAAATTCAATTTACCTGTTACCTGTACTGGAAGCTTTAAAAAACGCCCATGAGGCATTTAACATCAAGTGTAGCAACCCCCTCAAGAGCCCAGCATCCATTTCAAACAGTGACAAGTGACATAACGAGCCTCAGAGGAGACAGGAGACAACAAGCACTGCAAACACAGCTTGCTACATTTACAATTTTCCTTTTTTTTTCTTTTTTTTTCCTTTTGACAAAATAACTGGAAAGGCATTAACAGCTAGAAGGCCCCCTCTGCACTGCCATGCAGACACGTGGCAGGACACTGAGGTTAAACACGTCAGTTTGTTACAGTACAGTCGACCAGTCCCGAGCAGTTCCCAAAACTCAAGGGACCCCCGTCAGGGGGGCGAGGGGGCAGCAGAAGAAGGACAGACAGGCAAAAACGGAGCAGCAGTATTATTACCTTTTTTAATTTTTTTTTTCCCAACTGAGCATGGCAAAGCAACAAAACCTCCTCTGAAACACACCTTCTACCTCCACTCCTGAGCCCCCACCAGAGCTCTGTGCCTGTTGCAGCCACCTGCACCCCAAAGATGGGCTGACCTCAGCAAGGAGCCCCAAGCTGTGGCAGCCTGGAAGGCCTCCTGAGAAGAGGGAGCACACCACTCCCTCCCCCCCAGCCTCCCTCAGCCTTTCCAAAAGCAGCTGGGCACTGGCACCAGCACCACGCAGCCCTTGGAGCTGCGGGACGGATCAGCGCTCGCAGGAGCACACGGGCAACCACTCAGACCTCTCAAATCAGAAAAAGCACAGAACGTGGGGAGGTGAAGAATCCAAGCTAAAAGCAAGGCCAAACTCCCTCCTCTACAGGAGGGTAAGAACTTCCTCAAATAAAATCCCCCTCTGGACAGCTGTCCCTTCATCCATCTGGAACACGAGTGGTGTGCGGTGCCCCCTGGCCAGGCACAGACCTGGGCAGCCCTGGCCTGGCCACAGCCACACACACTCCTCCAAGGAGCTCCCTGCCCTGTCAGCACCCACCCCTGCACGGAGCAGGAGTGAATGGCTCTGTGTTCCCTCCTTCTGGAGGAAGACAGGTGGGACCAAGCAACACCTGCCTCAGGCTGTCATGTCCATCTGTCCTTTGCTCTGCCTTGCCCGCTGCTGTCCAAAAGACAAGGCACACAGTCCACAAACCTGGAGGGTGGTGGGACCACTGGGATTGCTCTTCTGACCCACCTTCCCCTGGGAAACAGGAGCACACACGAATGTGACAAACCACTCACTTGGCAGAGGGGGAAGGAAAAACTCTGAGACTAGTCTCAGGCTCAGAAGTGAAAATATTTCTTAAGTCAACTCAGATTTTGGGAAATTCTTGGGGAAACATTCTACCTCTTCTACTACCCAAGCAATTCCACAGTCTGCTCCACAAGCAACAACTCCACAGCAGAAGCTCATTCCTCCTTATTTCCTATTACGTTCGTTGCTAAAATGCAGACAATTGGTTTCAAAAGAGAACACACCCACAAGAGGAGCACAGGACACGGCAACGGGGCCACCCGCGCACATCCAGACCCGCTTCCACTTGCAAACAACCAGCAACACATCTCCAATGTCCTTGATCCAGCCTCCTCCTTCCCAAATCAGGGACAAACCCGGCTACATCCGTAACCTCAAGAGATCTGACTCTGGCTCACAAGAGGGGAAATCCAGATATAACAGTCACGGCCACAGCACTGTACAAGTGTTACTTTTTGCCCATCTTGCCCAGTTCCCACCCCACAACCCCAGAGCACTGCTGCCGCAGTGGAGCATCCATGGCCTCAGGCAGGCTGGCCTGCTGGAATCGGGCCTGTGAGTGGTACCAGCTGCAGGGTGACACGGCAGGGGTGGATGGACCAGGTCAGGATCACACCACCAGGAAACAGCAAAGCAGCAGCTCCCCAGCCTCTCAAACCCAGCTGTGCTGTCAATTCTAGCTGCAGTTCACGAAGCCGCTTCGCTCCAGCCCAGCTCCTCCCACCAAAGCAGCATCCTCGGGGCAGTGTCAGTTTGGGAAGTGATGACCTCAGCCAGGGCCCGGTGAGCACCCACAGCCACTGCTGATGACAGCCTGACTGTGCTCCCCCTCCTGCTTCTCAGCTCCTGGCTGCTCTCACCCACCTGCCCTGCAGCCACATAGGGACAGCCCTGGAGGGATGACTCCTCCCAGCTGAGAGCTCTGGATCAACTGGATCCTTTGGGAAAACACTGTTAGGTACCAGCTCGTGATGTTGCAGAGAGGGTCATGCAATGAGCTGTACCTTTGGAGTCACCCACTGCATGCCCATTCCACACCACACAGGAGCACAATCTGCAGCTCAGCAGATGGAGCACCAGAGCCACAGCCATGCCATCTGCACAGCAGGTATGCCAGGGACCCAGGAGATGGAGCACAGTGGTAGCAAGGCAGGTGGGTCTGGCTGGAAAGAAACAACTTTCCAGTGCTACCTCTAGAGCAACTCCAGAGGTAGCACTGGAAATCTCAGATCTCACTCCTCTGACACTTGCCCCTTGCAAAGCTCACAGGCTGGGGAAGATTTGCCTGCCAAAGCCCACCTGGTGCGGGGTAGAAGGATCAATCAAGTAAATGCCACAACAGCTCTGCAGCCACCCCCTGTGCCTCAGCCACCAGCTGCGTGGTGTCATCTCAGCCCTGGGAGGTGCACAAGGACCGTGCTGAGGGGGAGGCTCCATGCAGCCACCTGCCAAAACATGACACAGAAGGCGAGAGCTCTCCTGTGCTGGGCAGGTCTCCCGCTCGCCCCTGCACGAGTCCCAGCAGCAGCCCCGAGCCAGTGACTGCTCCACAGCAGGACAGGTTTCCTAGGGCTGCAGCACTCCCTGTCAGGCTACGGCATCGAGTGGCACCAGAACATGCCGGCCCTCCCACTCACTCACAGCAAGGACCAGTCCCTCCAGCTGCTTTGACAATCTCCCTGCTCACCCCCCAACCACGCTGGAAGCACAGACTGGAGCAGATCAACCTCCTGCCCGGAGAGGGCGGGGGGTGTGAGCAAGGCCATGAGCACGTTCAGTCGCGGTCGTGGGGAGGAGGCTGCCATGGTACAAACACAGCGGAGCGGCTTCAACTACTGCGTGAGCACAAGTCTTGGATTTGACTGCCCTCGGCACCTTCCCCAGGAGACTCAGGCCAGGCAGGGAGGCTCCATGACAGGAGAGGCATCCGAGCGAGCTGCGGGGTCAGAGGAAAGGCCGCAGGGAAGATCAGCTCGGCAGCAATGCCGTGAGGAGTCTCTGGGCCTGGGGTGGCCAAGTGCCCAGTGCACCCCAGGGTGCAGGAAGCCAACAAGCCTCCCCGGTCCAGCTCCACCATAAGGCAACTTTTTTTTGTGTGTTTTTGGGGTTTTTTTGTTTGTTTTTTTGTTTGTTTTTTTTCTTCAATAGTATTTCCAAGGAAGAAAGCAAAGGGAGATGTGTCCTTTTAAAGAGTTTTTTGTTGTAGTTTTTTTTTTTTTTTAGAGGGGTTTGTGGGGTTTTTTTATGTCATGTCATTTTTTCCAAGGGAAAAGGAAGAGAAAAGCTCCTTCAGCAAAGTCCTGTCTTTGCACGCGATGGGCATTCCTGGGGCAGCAGATGCACCGTCCACGCAGGCTCGAGTCCAGGCTGCCAGCCTCCCAACCAGCCATCCTCGCAGGAAGGAGTCAGAACAAGCCTATCCTTGGCAAAAGGTCCTTTGGTTGACTTCCAAATTGTCCGTGACGGAAGGGAGAGGTGGGCAGAGGGAAGAGCCAGACCCTCGGGAAGGTGAAGACGTTGGGGTTCAGAAGGGAGCGGGAGGACGAACAGGGCGATGCTCCTGTCGCGGTGGTCGGTGTCGGGAGAGGCACCGCCGAACGTGGAATGGGAGACGCCAGCCGGGTCATGGAGATCAGAGGCTCCGCAGCATCGTGACACGCTGTGGCTTCGGCCCCCCACGGGGGAACCTCGCTCCTCCGAGCTTCCTGAGCGGCTGCCCCGCGAGATCCGAGGGGGGACACAGAGGGGAGTCGTTGGGGCCACACAGAGCAGACTTGTTTTGGTAAATCCAGACGAACTTCTAGCAATAATTTAAAACTTGATATATATATATAATAATAAAAAAATCTCCCCTTTCCAACCCAGCCAGAACACATTTTTTTTTTTTGAAGAGACGCTAAGACATGAGTGTGTGCACAGGAGGGGAGGGAAGGGAAAGGAAAGGGTGGGTCTGCTGGGAGCGGGTCTGGCTCTGGTCAGGGTTGTAATAGCAAAATGGTGTTTTAGATGTAGATAGTCTTTGCTTTCCAGCCACAAGAGAAGAAGATCGTGTGCGTTGAAGTTTCTCCCAAGCAGCCTATTCCTGGGCACTCACCTTCCAGCTCCCTTCCTGTCCCACCCCCTCATGTCTCCCCTTCTCCAAGCCAGTCCCCCCACCAAC